ACTACATAATCTAAAAATAATGTTGAATAGACATGAAAATCATGACCTACAGTCCGCTCGCTGCGTTTACTACCATCACAAAAGATCTGCAGAGAGTACATATGGAAGAGTAGAACTCAATTACAATGATCAGCTTACGTCTTGTCAAAGCCTGTGTCTTCGAGCTCATCTAGCTCGTCTTCTGAGATAGAATCCAAGGCTTCTTTTTTCTTGCCCCACTTGCTGAAATTCAAAATTCCAGCCTTCACTTGCGGAAGAAAGCCTTGAACAAAAGGGATAAATTTTTACCCTCGGCTTTGAATACAGATGCATCATCTTTCGGATGAGACAACTGAGCGCCGAGAGGCCGCATCTATCTCTGAAGTCCATGAATGACACTGAGAAGTCTAACCAACGTGGTGCAGCTTTAGATGCTAGACGGAGATGATTCTGACATTGGTGAGAGTTTTCACAATCTATGAAGTCTCAAATCAACATCCAAATTGGCTACTTCCTCCGGCCCATTGTCGAAGTTGACCTTTCATGAAATACTCGAACATCGAAAGCTACATGCCCGAGCCCAAGATCTTTAGACTCAAATTTGTCCTCCCAATTTTTGATAGAAAAAACTTGTCAAATTTTTCAACCCTGTGTTACACCTCAAATTGTCACGTCTGCAGAAATTTTTATTTCTCGAAGTAAGAACAAACACCTTGACTTCAAAAATCCTCACTAGAAATTGTGTGTGTCACAAAATTGTCACTTACGAAAACAACCTGTCACAAACTCACAAAATAATCTTTCACACACTACAAACTGAAACTTGGATGTGATATCATTTGTTGACAATAAAACCGAAAAAACATTAAACACTCATGAGAGACAAATGTAACATAGTTCATCTTCGCGAAGAAGTGCTACATCCACCTAGAACTCAAACACCTTAACTTCATGAAGTGTACATAAAAGACTCTCTGTACATGGTGAACGCCGAGGTGTTAATCCCCAACCAAGCAATCATCTTAGCTATAAATAGCTAGTTACCGAGATTACTCCTTAACTAGAGTTAACCTCAACAACATGTTAATAAAATTGAAGAGAAGTTAAGGCAAGTTAAATATGTATTGAAAATAAGTTATATTTCCATATATATTTATATTTATATAATCGGAATATTTTGTAAATATTAGATATTAAATGATAATAATTAAAATACTAAGATCAACCATTTTGAATTAATCATGTAAAATAAAATTGAATTCTTGATCAACAAATTAAATATAATTAACTAATTGACATGTTTCTTAATGTGATTTACCAAGATCTTATATTTTTTTATATAAATTTTTTTGACAAGAGTAACAAAATAGTAGACAAAAAATACAACTATGTTCAAAATTTTATGCCTAATATCATAATAAAATAAATATTTTAACATGTCAACATCAAAAAACTCAAATTTTGATTTTTAATTCTCGCAAATTTAATGCACAAAATAAAAACACAACTTGAAAAAAAATCGAAATAATACTATATTTATAATAATTAAGAAATATATTAATAATTTATTGCCATTTTTTAATCATTTAATTTTCAATAACCTTGACATATTATTGAAAAAATACCAGGTAAATAAATATTTGGTAAAATTAGTTTTACCAAGAATTCTACTAAAGAAATACATACATGTTAGTATTGAGAAGAATAATACATACGAACAAAAGATATTTAGCACAACAAATCACATATTTAAGAGTCTAAATCTTTGGTTAGATTTGTTAATAAAACGTTTATCAACTTAATATAAAAAGAAGAGGACCTTTTCAGATAATTTTCAAATATTAGAAATTTAATTGACATTTTTAATTTAATTTTTATTGAAGTTTATGTTTAATACATTGAAGCCAACAAAAAAATAAAATCCCAAAATTTTTTTAATTTTCAACTAATCATTATATTGTTGCTATATTGTAAACAGGATATATGCAAACATAAAATTAAACTTAAAATATAAAATTAAAAATGCAGTTTGTGCTTGGATTGATGCATATGCATTTTTTAATATAAAATATTAGTAAATATAGGAACATAAAAATATTATAAATTATAAATATTTGCAATAAATGCTTTATATCTGTATGTATAAAAAAATTACGAATATATATGTTTCTTCAACGTTTTGTATGTTTTTTTTTAATAATTTATTTACAATAGTAAGTTTAATTGCACGTGTAAAAAAATATATACTCGTATTTTATAAAATATATATATATAATTTTTTTATTTAAAATAGACAATTATATCTAATAATCTAATATCTAATTTGATATTTTTGATTTCTTTGAAATCAACAGAAGTTGCAAGACATTAAAATTGTTTTAATTAGCATAAACAATTAACCTTCAGAAAGATTGATATTTTTGTTACAGCGGAACTCAAGTTTTTTATACACTTGAAGTATAATGTACTCGAACTTTAGTTTCTCAATATTATCAGGTTATGAAAGATTTGTAAACATTTTTTAAAATTTATGCTTTTTATAAAGTATTATTTAGAAAACTTGAACGTTTCAATTTACTTATTAACTAATTTATTGAAATTTACCACATTTAAATATAAATATATTTTTTTAAATTTTTCATATATCAGTTTTGATTTATATTAGTTTAGTGTCATTATCATGTGATTCTATAGTGTTTAGATCTTATAAAAACATAATGAAATAGTTTTATATTGGACTTTTTTGCATATTTTCAAAATATCCAGTTTTTTGAATGTATGATGTAATGATGTAAAGTTAATTATTTTCTGTATTTAGAAAAAATTGAAGGCAATTTTGTGTGTGTTTTAAATAATTGTAAAATTATAAATTATGAAAAGATAGGAATAGAGAATAAATATATGCCGTATATAGCTTAAATAAATATTATTTGTCCATTAAAATGTAGTCATATTTTCAGATATGTGAGATAAAAAATATATATACGAGTTGATATGTTATTTTTAAAAATTAAATGAAATTTATCTACAAAATTTGGTCATACATTTTTTCAAGTATGTTGAAATGTTACAATCGATATTATTGCTATCAAGTTGTAATATAGTTTAAAATTTAAATTCTTTATTAAAATAAAACCCTGAAATTGTTTTTTGAGCTTAAAAAATGCATCCAGTGGATTAAATTATATATTAATTCAAATATAATATCTCCAAGAAATCATCATGTTTCTTTTACATAAATTTATGTTCAAAGAACCCTGAATTTTGAGTATCATGAAATAATGAATTCCAGTAGAGAGTTAATATAGATGATCAATACTTGTAGAGAATTTAATACATATTGAAATAAATTTAAGTAATTTTATTCTCTACACAAACACTTAATATTGTGTTGTATTTGATATAAATTCGTTATTCAAAAAATGATGTTTTGAGTTCGAGATTTTTTATTCTATATTACAGTGATGATGATAAACTTCTTGCATGTATACATATTTGTTTCTATTGGATCGGATTTTCCAGATTAAAAGATTTGGAATGCTAGTTAATTATTGAAAATGTAAAAAATGTAACATGAATAAAATTTTAACACATAGATATTTTATTTCAAATTCAGGAAATGAAAATTCAACATTTGCTTAATTTTTGTTTGTTGATGCAAAGGGCTAAGTATTTTAACTTTTTTCAGAAAAGAAAACACACAGTAAAAGTCACTTGTAGTTTGTCGTCAGAATCTTGTTGAGAGATAATGGATAGAATGATTACAAAGGATGCTAATTGGCTTCCGCAAGAAGTCATTCCGTCGAATATGGACACCACCGTGAGTTTATTTTCAAGGATGCAATTCGCCAACTTCTGTGCGTGGATCAAAATTTGGTATTGTTGTAAGATTCGTATAACCTAGCAACAAGGAATTGATGCCGATCCAAGCACGAGGTTTTAGAACTATTTCGTTCCAAACTGTAGATAAGGACGACGAGTTGTGGATGAACGAACACGGTGAACAATATGATGGTTGTCTTTGTGCATTTGTATAGCCCAGTCGGAATAGGTTGCACACTTGTGTTAGACAAAAAGCCACATCAAAAAATGTAAACCGCAATACTATAGAGTATTATCAAGCAAAGAGCAGGTACTTTGTGCCAAGTGGCTAGTGCAAAATGCGGATGAGTTTCAATACAAGCCAATAATTTATGGTATTATATTTCTTGATACGGCACCCCAAAGCAATGGTTTGACTTCTAGGATGCGCAGATTGTAATATGGGGGTTCAGAAAGCTATGGGGAGGTCTGTTTGGACTCAAGTTAGGAAGATCACAAAAAGAGCTCCAGTAGGCTTTTGGCAATACACTCGGACTCTAGAGGTCTAGGCGACGAGGGGCGACGTACTTATTGAGGTATACGAGGCCGATATTGGGTTTATATATAGGAGGAGCCAGATAACGGGGGCCGGACATCGCCCGGCTCCTGTGCCGTCGATCGGATCGGAACTCGAACATCTCCACCATTTAATTTGGCGCTCGATTCGCTCACGTCAACGAGCAGACCCGCATTTAAGTTTCATTGACCAAGAGTTTGACCGCCAGTTCTTTACGCCCGCGCCAGTGTCCAGCGGGTACACGAGAAACGGCGGTGGAAGCCGAAGGGGGGAGGACAACAAATATAGAAAACTATGTTCGACCATATATTTATTTATTTGTCCTGTCTGGCCTTTAATTCTCCCGACTGGAGTTGCCATCCGGCCCTTCTCTAGCCCGCGCAAATCCTCGACCGCCACTCCACGTACCGCAGTGCCCCATACACAACCCTATGTGAATCTCCCCGCCCCGTAAGGGAATATACGCCCCCGTTTCCCGTGCCTAGTCGCAGCCAAATGAATGCGCGATGCGTCGTACCTCATATGCATCGTCGCCTCCACGCAGAATATTCCTCGTAAAACTTGTCGAGCTACCGGTGGATCAACTGTATTACCGGTAGGTGGGCGCACAGACCATAAATCCCAATCCGTGCGCTCGCTCCATGGGCGCCTGGCTTTTTTATCACCCGGAGCTCTGGGCGCCCTTTGTATACGACTTCGTTCGCCCGCTGCCGCGCCGAAGACGTTGAAGCGAGAGAGAGAAAGAGAGAGAGAGAGAGAGATAGCGCCGTGTTGTCTTCCGCAGCGCATCAGAAGCGGAGGGTGCAGGGAATGAGTGGGGGATTGCGGAGAGAGCTGCAGCAGCACTGCGAGGAGTGCCGGGGGGCTGCGAGTATCTAGGTTGAGGAGAGCAGGCAGGCTTTTGTGATCCATAGGCTCGTAGTCCTTTCGCATGTAGAGGGCAAGATCTGGAGGTGTTTTTTTTTTTTTTTTCCTTTTTCGCGCGCCTTTATTCGAGGTTTTCTTTTCCCTCGGTTTGTCGAGGACGCCCTTTTGCAGCGCAGTCTTGTCGTTTGGTCGTGCGGGGTCGACTCCGGTGTTTTAGAGCTTAATCTCGATCGCTTACACGACGTATTTATGTTACTGTGGAAACTTGTGTTTAGAGGTTTTCCCTCGTTGTTCTAAAGCCGAAGTTGCTTTTTTTTCGCGGAGCCACTGTGGTGGAGTTTCTTCGGCACTGTTCTTGTTTTTTAGCGCGCGCCTCTGTGTGATTGCTTTGCGTAGTCCGGTGGAATTTGCCTCGGGATCACACGACTTTGGTGCTGGACGGAGTTCGGTAGTTTGTTACCCGTCTCGCGAGGGAGTAGATTGTGAGTGGATGAGGGAGACGGTTGGGCATGCAGCAACAAATGGCTTCGTATGCGGGCACCACAATTACCACTGAGCTCATACAAAAGGTGAGAAGCGAACAACCGAGTGGTCGCGGATTCTGCTGTTGATGTCAAGTTTCCAATTTGTCGACCGGCGTCTGGAAGTCATGGCAGTCGATGTATCGTGAGCTTACGGTTTTTGGTTTGTGCAGTACCTGGATGAGAATAAGCAGCTCATCCTTGCTATTCTCGACAATCAAAATCTGGGCAAGCTCAACGAGTGTGCAACGTACGTTTTCCCTCTTCCCCATTATTATGACGTCCGAGGCAGCTCCTAGCTTGACCGTCTGTCGCCCAAACTATAGACCCTCGTAAATAACTTGGTGAGATTGCGTCTTCAATCTATGAGCTCGAACCTGTGAGAAAAATTGCTGACTTGTGGAGCACTTACAGGTACCAAGCAAGGTTACAGCAGAATCTGATGTACCTGGCCGCTATCGCTGATGCACAACCTCAGGGTCCTCAGCCATCGTCGCAGGTATGACCCTCCCACGACGGTTAATTCTCTGGTCATGAGAGGTCAGTTGTGTTATTTTCCTTTTCACCGAGGGTTTTAGGAATAGCTGTTTCCATCCACATATTTTGGACAATGCAAGTTGAGCGAATTCCTCACGTGAAAGCGAAGTGTGCCACTAGCGTCGCTCCGAAAGAGTTCGTGGTAGCGGGCATGTGCTTTGGGTGTCTCGTGCAAGTTAACCTCAGTGACATATACGCTGCTTGTATATCCTCTCTGGAGTCCGAGCGTATGGATTAACGAGAAAAAACCTCTTGACCCCACTTTAGCGAGCATTTCTCAAATAGAACTTCAACCGTAAAACTTCACTGAACGCATGAACTGTTTCTGTTTGTTTACTTGCTAAAGTCGGAATTCACGTTTCGGATATTCAACTCATAATAAGGCGGTGACATAGTTTGGAGACCTGGAATTTGGCCAATCTTTTGAAGGACAGGTCGATTCTGGCGGGTCTTTCGAATTTCTGTGACATTAAGAAGTCAAATGTCTCGATCAATGGAGTGAAGAATCACACCCTCAACATTGATCAAGTAGCTAAGTATGTCCGCACTCTTTCAGCGTACTAATCCCTTCTACCGCGTTCATATGAAACTAAAAGGACCGATGCCCTCAGGTGAGCGTTAGCTTCACAACAGGGTTTTGCTATGAGAAATAATCTGGACGTATTGTGAATTTACTGCCTGGTGAAGTCGTGGAGAGAACACCAACTTCTTGACACTATATCTTATAGTCTTGGAGTCGAAGGCACAGATTCTTAACCTTCCAACCTTTCATTCTCACCGACATAGTGGGATGGTTTTGAGAAGGTAGCCACGCCTCTGGTTCTCTTTATCTCCCTGTTGTCTTTCCCAGCGGGCCATACACTCATCTGGCTGTACAGTTCTGCCGAAGAACGATACTGCTGAACTTTATACTGCAAAGACGTCAATCATTTGTCTCCTGATGGGCTCCATAGTCACATCATAGTTTGAGGCCAGAAATCTCTATTGCTATCCCGGATTATTCTGAATGCCCTTCGTTGCCTCGTCACCCAACCGTCTTCGATGTTTCCATTATCCTTGGAAGAAGATGCAGCCTTTACGAAACAGCGGTAGACGTCAGTGTAAGTTTCTGGTCGAAATATCTCGGCAGCAGTATCGGGAGACCTAAGTTTAAGCGTAACTAGCACATACCTTCGTGATGTGTTGAATTGGATGAAGTAGTCAGTGAGGTGTTGCTCTGTACCTATTGTATTGGCCCTCTTACAGGAGGGTCAGAGGGTCGCTTGTCGATTTGATTGACCTCATGTGTGATTAGTTCTGCCAGTTTCTGACCTGTTTACTGTTCATTCATTTCTTATTCGGGGTTACCAATTTTTTCAAGCCTTGTGGCCAGTTCTACCCCTTCAGCTTATCTTTCTTTCCCAGAAGCTTTATCTTGAACTTCAAGTGCTTAGTGGAAATAGGACCGACAGTCGTCGTTGTAGCCACTTCTCGGAGTCTGTATTTTTTGGGCCCCCTAATTTCCAGTTCATAAGATTGCAGTATACCATTACACTAGGATCAATCACTGCGAAGATTGTCCAGAAATTTGTTTTTCACAATTCTGTTGTCTGCTGATATCTGTGCAGGCTGTCGCGACGAACGCAATGCCAGCAGCTCAGCAACAATATATGCAGCAACAGCAGATGACCCATCAGTCCATTCTAGGACAGCGGAGTGGATCTGCTCAGTACATGAGCCAGGGCCAAAGTGCAGCTCACCAGTCGGGTCAGCAACAGCAGCAGCAGCAGTCGCTCCATAGTCAGCAAGGCATGATGTCAGGGGGCAACACGGGTCTGCACATCATGTCAGGTGAATCAGGAATGGGTGGGAATGGACCTCCCTCTGGTAGTTCTGGGTTTGGTGAGTATGGTCATGGGAAGGGTGGGGGATCAAGGGAAGGAAGCATGCAACAAGGGGTGGGAATGAGGGGTGCAGGAGGAGGATCAGACATGCAAGGCTTAGGAGGTCATCAAGGTGGCAGGGAAGGAGGGAATTCTGGGTCTGGGCATGGGCACGGTGGCGATGATTCTGAGGCGTCCTACTTGAAAGGATCCGATGAGGACGGAAGTTAATTATGACCTCGCGGGACGTTGAGGGTAGCGGCAAAGTCTTGAGATCCTTAACCAAAGTTGACTCAGCACCTTCGCATATTCTATCTGACTTTGAAGGATCTGAAGGATCAGTGTGATCACTTTTTCCACTGTCAACAGAGGCAAGGGCTGTAAAATTGGGGATGTCAAGGCGAATTTTCTTTCTAGTGTCGGATGTTAAGTACATGCTCCATTTTCCTGATAAATTATTGCTCTGGAATCTGATGTCAGGCAGGCAACCCGTAAGTATGCCGGAGGAGGTGCTTTGATTTGCATCCTTGTGGCATGCTGGCATCTATGAGAGTGGGGATTCGAGATTATGTCTCAGGTAAAATTCTGTCTGTGTCACATCGCGTCGAGCTCTGTCACCTCGGGATAATGTAAGACAGTTGCCAGTTCCACTGGTCCTTATCTGAGCTGGGTGCCCATCAAGAATATCCACCGTATGATTTGTCGGAGTGTAAAACAGACTCAGAGTGCTATTCAGCAGTTTGTGTAAATGTTCGCCAAACAGTGGGTGTCATCCTCTGGAGGCTGCTATTTTGGGATCCCAGGATCAAGCAGCTGCTGGATTGGAGCACCAGTGGGTCGTAAGTGTAGCTGCGATTTTGTATTAAGTGGTCGCTTGTCCAGAGTTCGAGAGGGTTGCCCGGTCCCTGCAAGGTAGGAAACATCATACACAACACCCTGCGAACACCATAGAACTGTATCTGCAACCATTCTCGATGTTGGACACGAGACTCTTTTTATAAAAAAAAAATTCCAAAACTTTTCTTGTACCATGGGAAGATTACTTGATTCGACTTTTTGAAATCTAATATTAAAAGTCGTGATTCAAGTATTGAGTCCTCACCACATTGAAAGTCATCATTGTGTAAGTTTGCTTCTGAACAATATTGCGATGAAACTTCGGCTGTGCTCGGGATGTTATAGTGTTCTCAAGATTCCACCGCAGTCGCTCACTGGTTCTGGACTTATGTTGTGTGTGGCACGCACGAAGCACATAGCTCAGCGAGGGATCAGTCGGCCATTGTACACAAAATTGTACTAAAAGGCATCTGAAAGTGCTCTCAAAGTTAAGGCATCTCATCTCATGTGCGTTCATGGAAAGTGCGCTTTGTGCAACTTATCCATAAAGTCATCCTGAAGGCACGAACGAAAGTGCCCCAAGTGCCAACACGCGCCACTGCTTGACCCCAACCCTCCAACCGCCCAGATTTGAAGTGGGTGGCTTAGAACCTAAACTTGGGCACGTTGGTGGGTCTGTGAATATTCAAGCGAGAAGCGCTGTTGCCTATCTCTCTATGACATGACTAGGACACCGATGGGACGGGACCGATGCTGGTGAGATCATAGGAACAAATCAGTTCTCTGCAATTGATTTGGTTTCGCTCCAGCCACCCTTGACTATTTACAGCCCGGTGGGGGCCTGTCTTAGTGACCCGCTACTACAACCGCCGAACTTTGAGAAGGCCCTCTCTCCTACGGGCCTACTCAGTACATGCAGGGCGAGAGAACTGCAGAACGGACACCTTATATTTAGCGCCTGATCTCATGACCGTACTGCCAGATACGGTCGCCCACTACCCAGCAATAAAGGCAAACATTCTGCCAGACTTCTCCTCGGTCTCTAGCCCGGCCTCGTCCAATGTCAACACTGCGCCTCAAAACTGCCATAGATTGGTGCCCGGTTCAGAGTGTTCAGTCAAAACTCCTGCGGAGCCGCCTCCCTTCGCCACACAACACCGACTGCGGCTCGGTGATATTTTTCCAGCTCGGATCATTGAAGTCAGACATCGATGTCAGCGTCAACAAATTTGTAGGGGTACATTAGTCGTCGTTCTGCTAGGCCGTCCGGTATGTTTTCATCACTGTCATCATCTCAAGTTCATGAACTTCGGCAGCAGGTACAGTAGACAGTTTATGCTCTGAATTATCCCAAAAGTTTGGCCAATGTTATGATTCTTGTGGAGCTGCAGGCATACAAGCAAGTCGACAGCCCGACCTCAGCATCTACGGTTGTACTTGGCACCGAACTTTCTACGAGCCGAGTACTACTGTCCAAGGCTGGGACTTGTACAAACAAATCCTGGATGGCATCTTCTGGCTACAAATCTGCACCTCAGTTCGTGTCAGAATTGCTTGCAACGCGCAACCCGAGAAGACCATGAAGCTTTGCAGGCCTCTTTACGGGGGAACGGTACAGTCTAGCCCCTATATGACCTGTTATACTGCATCTCTATTTAACCATGATTTGGAATCTGACCATGGTTGACAAATGAAGTAAAGTGAGCAAAATAACTGTATAAACGAGCCCGAGTGTTTCCATCACTATGCAGAGAACATATGGTGCAATCATATCAGGTGAAGATTTTTTTGGATGGTCACTCATAATTGTGATAACTAGGTGCCATGAATCATATATCTTTTGGTAATATATTGGAACCTAACCCAATATCCACCCACATAGATTTGATGTGATCTTCCTGTCTTTATCATTTAAATAATAAGACAGAAATTTGTAAGTTTACTTCAATACTAATGGCAGAATGACCCAACGACTGTAAAGAATTTTTAATCCAAGAGTTTTGATATCTGGAGTCAGGCATGTGTGGGCGGAGGGAATGAATATGTAGAGCTTCACGTAGTATATTTTTTACCTCCTGACTATGAGTCAACAAGAAACATATCAACTGTTTTCAAAATCAGTTTCTATTCTAAATAAAGATCTGTTGATATCCATTTTCAGCACTCTTCACCTCGATAATGAAGCCTGTTAAACAATGTGCTATTTCTATTGTTATCGGCTAATCAATCATATCATACTATGACTGGTGATGCACGAGTTTCGAGCGACTCACGAGCCATAAAACACGTTCCATTATTTGAAAGGCAAAATATTCTAGAACTCAATCTCACAAACAACCGGACCTTTTCAATTGGTCATAGCCATACATATATTGGGACCCACTGTAAACTTGAATCCATGCAGTGTATCTCTTTTATCTCATAGATCTGCTGGTCAGTGCTCTAAGTATAAATATGAATATTTCAGCTCCATATTCACGCAGATAAAATTATTAGTTATTCCTTCTCATTTACAAATTAGAAAAATGTTAAATGGGAACTGAAATAGAAATATATATATATATATATATATATAAACTATCTGTTTGGTGTTGGTTTCGATTTATGAAGAAAAGTAACACAAACGTAATGTCAAGAGAATAATTACATACAAAATATTTAAATATCAATTAATTACTGGCAAGATCCATGATCAAGAAGTGATATAATGCCATGGATTGATAATGTCAATGTTCTTGTATACATAGTTTCATATCACAGATAATTAATGTGCAATGGATGACAACTTATTGACTTCGTTAAGCGACTTAAATCCAGCTAAACGAACTCAGTTCATTAAATTTATTTTTCCAACACAATCCAAGTTAAAATTTTCTTCAAAGAATAAGAACATTTTTCATCTTTTCTTAAAACATGTACTTTTAAAATGAAATGTTATGTGAATTCAAAATAATATGTAGCTTTTAAAAGCTTATCTTAAGATCATCTTCGTACATGGTACAAAGATGATGGTTTTGCCTACTTGCAAAAAATAATGCACGTGAGAATAAATTATCAGCATAACTAATATCTGTATGTTGAAGTGGCCATCAACGTAATCATTATTAAACTTTTTTTTTGGCAAATATACTCATCTTCATGGGTTTTAAATATAGTGTGTTTGATACGGCAGCATATCTGTTCTCAAAGTACTTATATCTTCAAATAAATTTAAACTGAAAGGAATATTTTATGAATATTTGATACCCATGGAATATTAGAACCTGGTTTGATGTTGAATTTATTCAACATAAATTTCTAATATATTTCGGATACAAGAGATTCAATATTATTCTATTCAATATAAACAAATTTTGAGTGATATTGAGATTGAAAAGATTTTTTTTAAAAAATGACATATAAATTTTTCTATGAGAGTAAATAATGATTTTAAATATCCTAAACAGACATATCCATAAATATTAATAGACATATTGTAAATAAAAATTAATTAATGTTTACTTCTTTTTTATAAATGTAAAGTTTATAATCTCATCAACTATGAAAAACTATCTTGATTATAAGTATTTAACTTGGCTCACATATTGGCCTTTCGTAACAAAATAAATTTGATGATTAGCATTTCTTTAGTAGTAAATCTTACTTGTAGATCGCCATCAACTTACTCTCTTTTTGGTATGATTTTGACAATCTGCAAAGATGATATCTTAATTTTTACCTTTGCATGAATGTAGAATTGATAGAAAATTCAATTGAATGAGAATCTAGTTGCATGTAGTAATATCCATTTTGATTTACTTATATGTGTATTATCATAAAACACACACACACACATTCTCTCTCTCTCTCTCTATGTGAAAATAAAATATGCTCAACTTCAAATGCTTGATTAATATTGTGAAAAGATAGAGAAACTATTTCAAAACTGCCATTCGATTCTTCAAGCAGTCATTTGATCAAGAATGGAAATCGATTTACATTATATGAAGAAGCATCGTAAGACTTCTGCACATCTTCTCTATTTCATACAAAATTTGTAAGATTTGACCTATGCCGGATTTATCTTTTGTACGGTGAGAATACACCCGGTAAGATTGTCACAGGTTAGCTAGAGAAATAACTCAATGGGAATTTCAAAAACCTGTGTTTTAGTTAGATTCACATACTCATCATTTGTTCAGACTTGAACTTAATCTTTTATGGAAAGTTTCGTTATCTGATTTATATAGGTTCACTCCATTCTAGACTCATGAATTAATTGATGGTATAGGTCAACAGTAATGATGAATAGAAATACGAAATTACACCAACAACGTGGAATTGGTGACTAGGAGAATTTAGTACCTCTATATCCTGGGAAATTAAATATCCCGAAGGTAGAACTCATAAACTGCAAAGGTGCCAGAACTATAAGTTGGTCACTCTGTTGCAGCCCCAATCCGAGACGAGGCTTGGACATACTGTACTAAATCTGTGTCGAAAGTCCTTGGGCATAGTCTGTATCATCTTTGCAACGCAGGAAAGTTCACGCACAGCAGGCAGGGAAAGAAACCGACGTAGTACCTTACCACATTCCAGCGATGGTGAAAAATGTCAGAGAGAATGACGGGCTGAGCTTTGGCAAGTTTGGAGCACTTTGAGCGCAGTACAGATCTGTATGTAAGCGGTGTTGCCTGCGGCAGCTGATGAAGTGCTGTGCACTTCATCAGCCACTCCGGGAGCTGGAGGCGGTCGACGGATTTTGTCTACTTCTCAGACTGGATTGTCACCATCCACCCACCATCGATTACCGTTGTGAATCATGAGTGCCATTCTCGGTCGAGAACTCCATCAGTGACCTTTGCATTACGCACGAACAAATAGCCATAGCACTCACATGATGAAGGTGTCAGAGTTCAAAGTATGAGAGCTCATAATTTGTAGTCACTCATTATTGGGGCGAACTCAAACCGTCTAAAATATGAACGTGATGGATGATAGATAGGTGCCAGCCGAGCTTGCAATCCAATGGATGAAACGTTGGGTGCATGGACGCTGAGTGGTTCAACGTGCAATGTATACCCCGCTCAGCCCAATCAGTGCACAAGCTTTCTCCACAACTTACGTCAAGTGTGGTCCAAAGCAGGAGGCAACTCCCGGGTCACCAGATACTCGGTGCTCAAGTGAAGAGTGCCCAATCTGCTTGAAGTGGTATTACTGGTAAATATGGTCTCAATCTCCTAAGTCGAAATGTATGATTATTCAAGTTTCTCTCGTCCATTGATATGAAATAACTTAATACTTGTATTGCTTAAAAATGCTTAATAAGATGAAATGTATGAACATATGTCTTCTTTCGCTTCGGTAGTACATTTTTTTGATGCTTTTGTGGTTAGGCCGGAGGTTGTTCTACAAATGATATGATTTCTGTATCAATAACAATAATAATTTTATAATAATATTGATGCTTTGAGATGGACGAAAATATCAAATTTATACAAGTCATATCTTTAATATAAATACGAAGATAACATCAAACATGAAAAATTCCCTGGTTTATAAACATCGTGAATTTAATCACGTGGAGATTTTTAAAATAAATGGATACAAATAAAGATATACCTAAGATATTCTTTTCTCTCCATTCGATTCAATAGCATATAAGTTTCTTTCTGATGCTATTGAGCTGAGGCCGTAAGTATAAATAATATATATTTCGATGGTGATGCTGACAGGGCAAAGCTTCATGGTACGACTGGCTTGATCCATGTAAGATTGGGCAGCGCATTTCCATGGTTTTGCTTTTGGCTTGGTTACTCCTGACGTCGAAGATAGACGCGAGAGAGAGAATAAGGGGGCCATCGTTGACGAATGCTGGCCACCGTGACGAGAAAACGACACGCACGAGTGAGCATTGAGCCCGGCACGGTGGGGTTCGGCGCGGTCAACCATCGAGAACGCACACTTTGTGCCTCACGTCCGACGACGTGCCGGCCGTGTCGCGGTCAAACAGTCGCGGGACCATTTATCCGTCGCTTCCAACGATTTTATCTCGAAGCGGAACGGAGTCCGAATGATAATAAGAATATTCCAGCACGGTCTGCATATTCCAGACAAGTCCGACCCGGTGAGCTTTTAGCGTCTCGTCGACGGCATCGTCCTGAAGAGTAGAGGAGCAGCAGAAGCTAATCCGGACGATATGATTGAAATTTCGGCCCATTTCGGAATCCCTCGAATATTCCTTAAGGACCTGGATGGAGTCCGCACAAGGGCCCCTCGGTCGTTAGGCTTCTCGAGTGCGGTGGTCGCCCGGACGTATCGCCGGATTTCAGTTTTGAGAGCGTTACGGGAAGAGCAGTGTTTCGTGGTGGGTTAGGTCTAACCTCAGGGTAACTAGCATGGTTACCTCTGAAGGAGGATGTTGCCTCCTGTGGTCTCAAGGTTCAAGTGAAGGGCGTAAATAGCCTTGTCTTTATACAAAATTGAAGTTAATTTCAAGAGAGATGAAATACATATTCATCGAAAAAATGTAATCGTATTTAAGAGAATTTTATATTTTTTTTGTGTAGCATCAAATGCTATAATATAATTTACCACAGTCAATCAAAATCTCAACGAACTTCTAAAAGACAATTTTATACATGTAAAACCCAATATTCTATACATCACATTGTGATACTTAGTTTCCTCCACGTAATGCTTGCTGGGGTCTTTTAATATTTTGCATTGATATCGGGGCCCTAGTTTCGGTCTTGTCATCACTAAGCCTCGTGTTTTTTGATACAATAAATGACATCACGTTTTGTTGTTGAAGAGATGCTCGACCTTGTGACGATGAAGCTTGATGAAAGCAATAGCCATGTGTCACCGGAAATTGCTATAACAGTTCTTCCGTGTTCGATGATGCACATTCTGGAAACCTCTCAGTATGTTTGTGAACGTCAATATCTCACACAAAGCACTGAATGGTGCAAGCTCTACTTTGTGGAGCTAACTAATCAAGAGGTGAGTTGAGCAATTTGGAAGGATTTGCACATTTTTGACTCGATGCAGGAGGGAATAAAGGTCCATGGTAGCAATAGCAGATTACGATGACCCCTCATTCTCTCTACCAGCCCACCAAAAGTGTGCATATTCATCCAAATTGCAGAACGCAACTGGCAAAAATCACACTGGCAATGAAACTTCGGTTGCAAGTTGCCGTAGCATTAGATCGATTCCGTCATTCTGGGAATGTACAGTCGCTTTAAATGTATATGATGTAGTGGGGCATAGTGCGTTTTTTCACAGCGAGAGCGATGGAGCCAATGTAAGATTGTATTAGATGTAAGGTACGGTGGCCAGGCCAGTAGGACTGTCAATTTTTTTTTGGTGCAGCATTTTCAATCAATAGTTTCCAGGGTTGGATTGCATTGGTCGATGAGACAGACTCTCGTGAAGCTATCAAGAACAGCTTCACTTTGATCTGGAAAGTAAAATGGTAGCAAGTGCAATTACTCGATCAACTGTCAGGTTGTACATGGTTGTTATGAACATTATGAGTGTGGTTAAAAAGAATGTTCGAACTGGTTTGTTTGGAATCGGATGTTTGCATGCAAAAGTCCATCGAGTGTAGAAGTTGTAAAGTGAAGTAAGTAGGTTGGTTCTAAAAGTCATATAGTGGTCATTGCATGAAGATTTGTTGAGGAGACTGTACTTTGCAAGGCTATGTTCCAAACCCAAGAAGGAGCGTATAGCCAGCGCTGATGGATGATCGAGCAGAGGCGGAGGAGAAAATATATGCATATATATTTTTTTAATTATGAGACATAGGAGAAAATTAATGCAAATAGTTTTTGTTCTGACGAATTCTACGTGAAATATTAGCATTTACAAAGATGCATGTTGAAGGAAATAGCGACTTGAGATATTTGGATGGTTAGTTATTTATATAATGGAGCGGTGCTTCATGCTCTGGCAGACCATTAATGCAATTTAGTATTGAAGGAATACAGAATAATGGAAAGGGAGTATCAAGGCGGAGAATGTGTATGGCAATGCGTGTTGCCAAGTACCGGTGTTTATTCTTAGATGCATGTGAAAGCAAAGCGTGAATGGCTGTTATTGCCGTTGGTTATTATGACAGACGAGGAGGGTCAGCCTATAGCATAACGGAAGTGAACTAGTGCCAGAAAGGGAGCGAATCATGTGAATACACTTGTAAATAGAAAATTTGCGTTGATTGCATCAGGTTCCGGTCCTCACTTGTGTTTTGGATGTGGTGAGTTCGAGCAAATCGTTGTAACCGTTCTTGAGAAATATATACTATAAAGCCTGAAAAACATATCCTTTGAAATCAAAACGATATGTTTAGCAAAACATATTCTGAGCTAGTAGCTAATTAGCTATTTGGCACAAATAAAGTAACACTTTTGAAACTGTAAGTTTCATAGGATATATTCAAACAAGATATTGGGATCCAAACTTTGGTTGACTATTAATTTGACAATTCATGGATTTTCCAATCATCATTTTATATCCACTGATTTTTTTTTCTAACTTTTTTACAGAAATCAACATCTTAAATACATGCGGCTTACATAAATGATTCAACTGTGTATAGCGAATGCTAGAGAACCCAACGACTACCTGGGAGTGCTGAATAAGCATTCCTTAAAGCAGTTGCGGACAAAATCGAAAGATGAGCTTGGTATGGATGGAATGGATCATCTTTACGTGATTTTACACATTTTTAACATAAATCTTATTGATCAATTGGACGCTGGTTGTAATGCATAGCCAGAACTTGAGGAGGTTGATGAAATAGGGCCTCTGAGAGTAATGAAGGAATCGCCGCTTTCAGGCGGGGATGTCAACGGGAGACTTCACTGGCAGCTCCATTTCTCTATCCTAATCGGAATGTGTATTATAAGATAATTTATATTCCTCATGGGAAAGTGAAGGGAGAGTAACTACGATTAGTTTTTTCGCACAATGTGGCTTTGTTACTGTATGACAGTCCAGACTACTTAGACCAGTCTTTGTTATTTCGATTGCGTGCCAGTCGTTTAAAAATTGAAAACAATAGACGATGCCTTTCAGCTACATGTGATAATGGCTTGGAAGAGTGATTATAGTCTTCGAGGATGAGCATTAGCGACAACAGCAAATGCATAAAGCTGATGTATCTATCTGGGCGCAAGGGCATGTATTGAGATCACATCATTATTCATTTAGGTCTTGAGTTATATGGAAATAAATGTCAGCATGTTCATAAAAGCGATAGGAAGCAAGGTACATTGATCGGTTTATTTGATTATCTTATATTTTCAGTTAACATGTATGTGATATCTGTATAAAACAGTAACTGGCCACTCTATAAGAGAATAATCATGAGATGAAGTATTAATTAAATATAATTTTAAAGTGTGATGGTGTAGGGACCTAGACCATATTAATCCTATGGTTTCAGCCGGAAGTGCTTGATGGGCTATCCTCATCCATCTTTTCATATCTATTTCTATCTCACCGGGATAAAGGAAGTTGATCTCAACTACATGTCACATTCGAAGCCAGATGATCCTGGAAATGATTATGGTGGATAAACATCTCGATCGTGTACCGCAGAATGAGCAGACATGTCTCGAATTAGTGCACATTGCCATCTCCAACACTGTGGTCAGCCTGGTGGCTGACCATTGCTTGAATGATTACGTTGAAGGAGACACTTGTTGTAGAGCACTGAGTGACACGTATCTGCTCAATCGGCGCTGTTTGTGTCTTTGCCGCAACCATGGTTGGCTGGTGATATACGACTCACTCGTCACGAAGAAACGATATTTTTTATCAGTTTTTTTTTATTATATAAGCTTTGTGAAAGTAATGTATTTTGATACACTTAGAACATGAATTTTATATAAACCCATGGATCGTGAAAAATCGTTACTACTAGAAATCATTATTTTTTTATTATTTTTTTTTCTATATCGCTCTCCCTTGTTTTTAGTTACTCATCAAATGGCACTTTGCCTATGTTTATGTGGTTGATAATTTCTCGATGATGGAGCGGGAGGAAAAAGAGTGAAACAGGTATCGATGTCAACACATTTCCAACTGTTGAGAAGTCGGAGTAACAGAGTACAGTACAGTATGTGATTATATGACTGTCGATGAATGATGAAATCTGCACGTATTAGGAAACAGAATCTTGCAGGAATCAGAAGAAAGTATGTTATTCTCGAGATTATTCCTATCTTACCTCCGTAATTTATATTATTACTTTGACATATAGTTTAATCCAGTCCAAGCTGTCTTGACCTTTTCCGCAACGAGAATCCTTCTTTCTTGTTCATCTCGCCAAACAAGTCAAGAAGTATTGATCATACGATATATGCTCTTTCGGTATACATGAGATATATAAAATGCATTTCATTTCATCATCAAGGTTAGATTCCTTTGGCAACCATAGAAATAATCATCACATGTCATTTGCAACACAAATACTAATTCGTTCATTCGATAGGGGAGCATGACTTCAACGCAAACGACACTCTCTCTCCAAGAAAACAAATTTTTCGTCACACCCCAAATGCATGACACCGAAATATTTCGGTAATTTGGCAATGTGAGCAGTGGAATGAATCCCTTGCCAAATGCAGAACGTCAAAGAACTCACATCCAAAATGCCAGTAGGTTTCCAAAACAGTCTACTAGGCAATGCGAGGCGGGAGGGAGTTTCATATCAACAAGTTCTGAGTAGGCAATGTGGGGGCTGGGATCTAGTTTCTGGCTGCATCAAAGAACTGAAAAGCAAGTTCAGTTCTTAGTATATGAGTGTGGGAATGATGTAGGCTCTTCTCTACTTGTACTGTGCCTCCAATATGACTTGATTGGAGCTTGTTCTGCGCTCACCAGATTCTTCAAAATGGGAGTATTCCTTGTATATTCTCCACTAAATCCCATCGTATCATCATTTCTTCTGGACGATTAACAACAGCAAAATGAAAAAGTACATTATCATGTGTATAAACGTTAGGGTGAGTTGTAGATCTACATTGGATTCGAGTTCATATCTGATTGAGTTGGATTGGCACGTTGTTGTGATAACTTTGTATATGTATATTCTAGTTACTTATGTATGCATGAATAGAGTATGTCAACGATGTATGATGTATGGCGATACCGAGTCGCATGACAACGTCACCAACAAAATTCGCTTCTCACTCGACCACGAACGAAAGTGAGGTCATGTGACAAAAAGCATCGTTGAGCTTTTTCTCAACAATGCGCGCTACCATGACAGTCTTCGAACTTTCTCTCCATATAGACATCGAGCCCTCTCCCATATTCTGGTTCCATCCCTTGCAAGCATACATTTTTACTACTAGTTCTTCACCTTCTTCATGATTCTTGTTCGACTTCAGGCAATGGCATGAACTCTACTACCATGCAAGTAAGATTCCATAGGAGTAAATACTGGATTTTGGGTTAGATGAGAAACATGTAACTATCCTCACAGCCCTCGAGGTTGAAGACTCTTGGAAAATTCTCGAAAACTATAGCAACTTCAGCTAGATTGTGAGTCGAATGGCTAGAATCTGAAATTTTGCCAAGTTTTAGAAATTGCTGAGTGTGGTAAGAGTTTACATCTTCAACATACGCAGTCAGTCTCCACTTGAAATGAATATGTAAGATACGTAAGAAAGCTCTTGACGAGATAAGAGACCAATCGCATGAAGGACGTCAGTGGATTCGAGCTTGAGTGACACCTTAAGGGATCCAGGATCTGAGACAAAGTATGGGTTTGAGCTCAGGTTTGGTTGAACTCCCCAACATGATTTTTTCCTAGTTTTATTAGTACACCTACACCATAGCTACTGTGTTTTATGCACTTAGAGGAGCGTTGTAAAGGTCTGGAAGGCGTCTCCAAATGAGACATTAAGTCAAACGCCAATTTTCAAATGAATCATTCATGCTAATTCGATACACGAGGGATTTCCATGATTGTGAATACTCTTGGCTGTAATTGCGCATCAAGATCCAAGATTTGATGTGACACTTCCATACACTTTGGCAAAAACATGAGGTCCATCAATCATGGTATCCCCAATCAAATGATAGTAAGAAAGTGATGTCTACGCCGATAACAAAGAGTATGTAAAAGTTGAAACCAAAAATGAAACTAGGGGCTAGATTTCAATAGTTTCACATTGAAACAATTTCTTCCAACATTTAGAATATTTCAATGATCGAAATCAAACCAAGTATAGAATTGCACTATTTCAAGTAGATTGCAGCTTATACTACCGTTATTTTCATGTAAGAATTCTATCATCACGCGATATACTATACACTTATAGTTTTTATCAAGTTACGCGAAGACATGTTGCAATCAAATGCAACATCTACCATTGTTCCACACATCAACGAAGACAAATTACATCACTAAAATGTTAAAGGGATAAATAGAATCAACACGAATCCTCATTGACCTAACAAAAACAACTACTGTGGTTCGAAAATACCTTATTCATGGTACAGAAACAAAGAAAAAAAATTTACATCTATACTAGTTTCAGAAATGTAATTTAAAAGTGGATATGTATGTAGGCTAGATTTGACTGGCTTAATACACAAAAATGATATGTGAATGGTGTGAAGATTAGTTAGATATAGATGAGAGAATACCCAAGCTTTTCTTTGCCTCAAATAGAATAAAATTATTATAAAATTATAGAACACTCCATAGAATAAAATTATTCCTCTTCAAGGTATCCTCCAATCACATCATATTGGGAAACTCGGTACCCTCTTGTTTGACTGGATCACTCAGACCGGGGCTTAGATCGAATGGACTCCCCGAACACTAAGGGCAGAAAATGATACAGCTCCAAATTCAACTCCAGATCTCCAACTTTGTGGTGCGAGAAGGCCGTCGATTTCCATCATTCGCCTCAAATCTCTCGAAGCTCGCCATGAGTTCGCTAGCAGTGCACAAATATATTCACCCATCGACATATCATTCTGAAAATCCGGTGCCCTCTGCACGGAGACTTCTGATAATCCCCAACACTCTTCGCCTCTCTACCATGGACGGCGAGCAAAATCAAATTATATTTTTTAAAAAATGTTTTATGGAACTTATAGTTCAAAATGTTTCACATGTCCCATTGTTTCCATTTTTAGCTTCTACTTTATTAGGAATCGGATTTTTTTTTCCCCAGAGTCTATCAACAAATTTCGTCGTCGATATTCTTTTAGCCCCCGTCGCGGTGACCACGGTCCGCGGCGGGCGAGTTAACAAACCACGGTTCGAGGGGGAGAGGTTGCATCGAGTGGATTTCGTATGAAACTCTGCGTCAACGCGCCTTGCGTAAGGACTGCCTATATACCCGTAATAAGGACATCCGTCCATACGGAGTCCTTACGAGTCCTTACGAAGACCGCTCTCGTGGCCTCCCAGACAGCCTTTTCGAAAGGCTCCGAGGGTCAGAAAGAGTGCAAAAGGTTGGGCTCGGGGGACGACGACGGACTGACACATTTGAGGGCATGGCGAAAGAATGGGGCTCGCGATTCGCAATGGGGTTTGGTGAAGGTCCGAGGGAAGCGATGGCCGTCGTCGAGTGAGGCTGTTGGAACGTCCAAGAATGAATATAAAAGACGCAAATCGGCCAACGTGCGCCGGAACGACATCGCTCGCTCGCATGCGAGAACGAGCGAGCAGCGAGCGGAGCTCGAGGACTTGTTTTCGAGGGCGAGACGGAGAGTTGGGCAAAGATACGGGCGGACAAAAGCGGCCGGAGTCGACGATTGTCGACCGCGTCACGAGATACTGCAGCCGCCTTCTTCTTCTGCTGATGCTGCTGCTGCTTCGGGTGATTCTGCTGGTTTTGGTGCGAGGATTGTGGCCCACCAGGGCATGACCCACCCACCGGCAGCGGTCGCGCGCTTTATGGATTGACGTCGGGGGCTCGAGGGGGTGAGCTCAAAGAATACGCCCAAACTCTCGAGCGATCGCGCTCGAGGTGGCGGACGTACCATGTTGACACGGTTCCGAGGCGTGCATTGATGGCCGGGGCCAGACATGGGAGCGCCTCGAGACGGGGTGGTGTGTGGTTCGTGCCTTCTGGCTGCGTTGTGCGCTCGGAGGTGCAGGTGTAGGTCGTTAACTGGTGAGCCCCGTCTCGGCCTTTTCAAGGCTCCAGGCCGAGACTGACATCCGTTCCATCCAATCATACCATGCCCGCAACTTCTCGCAGCCAGCAGGATGCATCATTCCAGAGGCCGCTGCTCCAGACAGCTTCCTGCAGCGATTTCATCATCTTGACTCTCGCTGACACTAAAGTTGACTACTGTGAGTACTGTAAAAGAAGGGGGTCCTAAACTCCTCCTCCATCGTCTGGAGGGAGTGCGCTCAACTGCAAAGATGGAGGAGGTTCAGCCCTAGCCCAGTTGTAGTTGTAGCCGGACAAAATACCTTGTACAGTAATCCAGAGATCAGAGAAGTGGATTAGACAGCTCAACTGCACAGATCTTCTGTACACGAAGCACCGAATTTCCATGTATATTCTATATTAGCAACTCGGAGTAAGAAAGTTTTGAATAATCTAACCCATGACTGTGTCCTGTACGATAATCACAATCAATAAGACTACAGAATGGAAGGACCACCAAATATGGAAGAGCAGGTAAACGGTTTTACACGTGGAACTTTCAATGGTAAATTATCGTAGCCAACCAGAAGCTGCCATGCTAGCTCCCTCTCTACCTGTGGACCGAAACTCAAGGTACCGAGGAACCGACACAGCTCTTGCTCTCGGGTTTCGTCAATTTGATACGCTTGTGCTGCGGTGAACATTGGTCGATCTCTTTTCGCTTTCTTCATCAACAAGAATCAAAGTTTCTGAAAGTTGGAATCGATCTGAATTCCCCGAGCTTCGTTCTTCGGTTCTTTTTTCTTCTTTTTTGGTTGTTATTTTTTTGCTTTTTTCCCCCTTTTTAGGGCTCCCATCCTTCGGGTCCTCGTCACCTTCTCCGTAGTTCCGCCTTACACAGCTAGCGGATGACATATCCGAGCTTTCCATAATCCAATACAGAGGGGCCTCCTTATACAAACCTCAAAGTATCACATGCGCTTGAGGCGGTGATTAATCAATATATCAGATACTCTACCCTCTTGGTTTCTCTCTAATGCCCGATTCTTCCAGCAAGCTTCCGCTGAGCGATGGGTTGCTGGTATTGGGGTTGCCCTTCAGGAGAGGCTGATAGACCTTTGCTGGGAATTCTACCAAGGACGTGACAGGTTCGTGGTGGATCGAAAGTCGGAAACTTCTGCCATCTGTAGTCTAGTTACTAGCCATCTCCTCGACACAAGCTTGCTCTCACGGTCCCATATGCATGGGCTCACCACTCCCCGTCACGAGCTTCACCTTCTCTCTTCGTACCCGTCTGTAGAATCCTCGTTCGGATTTGCGCGAGTTGATGGAAGCCTGGTCTGGGTCTTGAGATGTATTTCCTTTTACTCCTAGCAGTGGTTTCAATTGTGTTTGTGCTCTGTCCGGACCCCTGTCTTCTAATTGCATTTAGCGCATGTTTGCCAATGTAGGTTGCCCTGCATTCGGACTCCTCCTGCAGTCGCGAAGACTGTTGCCGCCCCTCCTCCCACTTTGTTCCCTTGTTTACCCTCATCTCTCTATCGAGTCAAGACTTCTGTCTCAGAGCATGTGATACATGACGGGCATGACGTTAATGGGAAAATTCAAGAGCAGAAACATACACAGATTCAAATCCCATCACGCCTCTCCAACGTCTGACGGTCTCTATCGGCCAAAACCAGGACCTTCTCTCGCTGGTGTTTTTACCTTCGCTGATCGGCTTCTATACGCTGCGTCCCTTGACGACATGGTCCCGACCAGGTGCGTAATTCTCTGACTCGAGGACATCTGTGGTTTCTTGGGGTGGAGGTTCTCAGTGTATCTCGAGTTAGAGGTCTAGGACTTCATCCATATCGTACAGCAAATTAAGCGGAGAATTCTGAAGCTCCTGTCTTTCCTGACGGGAATCTAGTCGTGGAACTTGCGCTGGAGGAGTCCTTCGTCCCAGTCTGGGAAATCCTGACATCTGCGTGGAAGATGAGATCTGCTATATCTCGAATTGTACTTGCAGCGTTTGTCAAGGGAAGGGATTTTTCTGATGTAATTCTGCTGGAAGGAAGGAAATGGAAGCAAGGTGGTTCCCTCAACACGGGACCTGAGAATGATTTGATTTAGGGTTTATTTGTTTACCCTTGACAGATACCTTATGTGGCAATTGCTACAAAGTGCTACTCTGTGTCGATTGCAGTCTTTGTTTGGGAGTACTCTTTTCCTCGTTCGACCAAATCGAGCTGCGCAAAGCAACCAGTGATGAAATCGGCTGAAGTTTTACACTCAATGTTCCTCGAATTTCCAAAGGCCTAACAGGTTTTATGCTCTTGAGTGAATATATATTGTAAAATGCAGTATCGTAGTTGGACTTGGGCTATAATAAGTGAAGGTTCCACATATCTGTTTGCGGCAGATGTAAGAATAAGGTTTCCGGGCTTGATACAATCTTCTTTCTGTTCGTTATTAAGTTTGATGGCACATGCGTTGGTCACAGTGTGGTCATAAGTCTCGATCCTACTTCTAGAGTAGTTCCGAGATACACACGGAGAACTCGACCTGCCTGCGTTTTGCTGCTGGCGGATGAAGAACGATTGAAGAAGGGGCTAGTTCGACAGTGACTGCGTCTAGCATCCAAACTCGCGTCTCCTGGTCTGACGTTGAAGCGATAGAGTTGTTTATTAGCTTACTGGAGCTTTAAGGCCTAGAATTGGGTTGATGAGAATCTAAATGAGGAAATACTTTTTCTTTGACTGGAATCCTGTTTTTCTCAGCCTATGAAAGTTTTTCCTTGAATAACGTGGGTATATATGCCTGAACACAAGCTAGCACAAGAAGCTGACATAATTCTTGTAAAGTTCTAGAGTATTTTGTCCTTGCATTAGGGCTTCTCCGAGAGCTGACTTTTCTGACAAGAAGTTTCCACTAACGAGCTTGAAGTTCGATGAAGGGTTTTAGAGCTTTTTCATATATTTGAAGAAGAGAAAATAAATCCTTCTTGCACGGCTGACGGCATGTCGTGTTTGTGTATCTCTGAAGTGTCATCTTAGTGGATGTGATTGATCTTTCTAACGTTGTTATCTTGTAAGGATGTAGAAATGAATGAGATCTCTGAAGCTTTAGTAGCTAGTATGGATTTCCAGCTCACTTTACTTTTGACCCGTTTCAGATTTCAAGACCCGAGCAGTACTTTCAAGTGACAAGGAGCTGTTAGAAAGGTTGAATTTGAAGTTGATGCGTGCAGTTTCCAGTATGGCAACTGCAGCTATGGCCGGTGCGGCAGGGGCCGCAGTTGTGCTGTATTACACAGGTTGGGGGTCCGCATTGGGTATGTGGAGTAAATACGATTCTGGAATGGCAGAGGATGAGGAAGCGAGTAAGAGTCTTACAGGTTCAGATAGGCCTAGAGACCTCACCAGAAGAAGAGTGCTCATCCACAGGCCAGCGAGGCCACCGTCAACCTGGTATGAGGCTTTGTCAACTCTGTCGGAGACACTGAGGTTTACTTACTCGGAAACTCTTGGAAAATGGCCGATTGGTGACCTTGCTTTCGGGATTAATTTCTTATTAAGGCGTCAGGTACGGTTATTTCACCTTGTTCTCTGAGTAGTACTGCATTTATTGCTTATTGTAGTTATCCTGATCCTGATTGTTCAGATATATAGTCTTCATGAGTGCACTAACTCATGAAGATACGTTTGACTTTTTAGGGACACTTTCATGTGGCTGGAGTATTCGCTGGTGGAAACAGCAAGCAGTTGAAGGGACCTGTTGTTATAGTCGAGCTGAAGGAGCTGCTGCGGCTTTTGGTTGTTTGCATGCATTTTTCTAAGAAGCCTTTTCCTTTGTTTTTAGAAACCACCGGATATACAAGGGATCAAGTTCTTCTCCAGGAAGGCAAAGCAGGGGTATGATCTTGCGTTTATTGTTATATCCTACCTAATCTCACATTGGCTACTTTTGTAGAAGTTGTGAAGAAGTTGGGAAGAACATTCTCAAACTTGAGTTTGGTGTTGTTACCATCAGTAGTGTTTCCCTTTGGAAGGATACTGGCCACTTATTGCTACATAGTACTCGTACTTCTCTAGAGACAACAGCATCTCTTTTCTGTTGACTTTTCCAGTATTGGCTTTTCGAATAGCAAGCGTTTCTTGCCGCTTTTAGTTCTGACAAGGGGCATGCGATCGGTCAGCTTTGAACTGTTAAGAAAGTTCCAAGCTAACAAACAAATGTTTGATTTTTTTGCAGCTCTTGAAACCAGCTTTTACAGTACTTGTGGATGATAGTTCACAATGTATTCTTCTCCTAATTCGAGGAACCCATAGTGTTAAGGATACTTTGACTGCAGTCACCGGTGCTGTCGTGCCCTTTCATCATACTGTGTTGGATGATGGTGGAGTGAAGAATTTGGTTTTGGGTTACGCTCATTGTGGCATGGTTGCAGCTGCTCGATGGATTGCACAGTTAGCTACGCCCAAGCTTCTGCAGGCCTTGAAGGACTATCCAAACTACAACCTGAAGGTGCAATCCTGCTTCCAATTAAATGTTGCAATTGCATATTGTTGTACGCTGAACCGTTAGATATCTGTAAGGAATCACTACATTATTGTCGAAAGTTTTACGATTAATTAGTTAGTCGTGGGCTGTCTAAATGCCGGATGGTATCTTAGCAAGGACGCTTTACTTCAGTAGTTTCTTCGATGAACTTCGTGAACGTGAGTCTCAGATTTGTTAGAATTTTAGTCACGCCAGGATTGAATAGTTTCAAATTGTTATGGTTGCATGTGCCGAAGTTTTTCCTCTCATGATTATTTGACTTTAAAAGTTTGTTGTGTTTATCAGGTAGTAGGACATTCCTTAGGTGGAGGTACAGCTGCCCTTTTGACGTACATTCTTCGCGAGCGTGGAGAATTTCAAACAGCTCGTTGCGTTGCATTTGCTCCTGGTGCGAGGAATTTTCTAATTATTCCTGCTCTTTTTGTTTAGTGGATCATCCTCCATAGATCCTGCTCTTGTTTTCATCTGCTTTGAAGTGCTTATCTGACTGTGAGCACACATGTCCTTGTGGTAGTGGTCTTTTAGATGGATGAAGTAGGAAGGATGGGTATCTGTAAGACCAATTTTTGTTCATGGCTATTTCAATAGTTGAATGCAAAATTCGCAGCAACTGTGTTCTGTCAAACTTTAAGTACGTATTCTTTGAATTGACAAAGAAAACTTCTTGACTATTAGCATGCTTCAGATAGAGCTCTAACAGCTAGTACCAGACGAGTGGCAACCCACGAGCTGATTTTCTTGTCTTTTTTGTTCGCAGCTGCGTGTATGACTTGGGAACTAGCCGAGTCTGGAATGCCATTTGTAACTGCAGTTGTTAATGGCTCAGATCTTGTGCCAACATTTTGTGTTGCGTCTGCCGACGATCTCCGTGCTGAGGCAAGTAAATTCATTACATAGGCTCTACTGAGCTGGTTGATGATGAAGGATGCTGATGGAAAACGTGCATTATTGTAGATGGTGTGATTGACGTTTTTTATCCGACTATTTCGTGTTAATACCGTCTCTTGGTTTCTGGTCTCTTATCGGAGGCTGTTGAGAAAGATCTTTCACGCTCACTAAATTGGTCATAGATGATAAATGATCGAATGGTTTGTTTCACGCACTTCGTCGGGCCGCCGCCGCCTCCCGGAGTGAAGCAGATATGATTTGATAACAATTTCAGGATTTTGTATCTTGACAGATCAGATTATCTTTTCATGATATTTCCGGGGCAACTAAACCTTTCAAACGCTCATGTCACTGAGCGTTTACACTTTTCATAGGTATTTGCTTTCATTGTTCTAATTTGAAAGGTGTTGCTTGAATTCAGGTGACAGCCTCTGCCTGGATCAATGATTTTCGTGAGCAGATAGAGCGGACAAGAATTCTAAGCACGGTGTTCCGGTCAGCTTCAGCCTTGGGAAGCAGACTGTCTTCCATTGCGAGTATGTCACGAAATCCATCACTTACGGTAGCAAGAGCTGCACAGTCTGGAGTTGCTAGTGCTGGAGCAATCTGGCGCCCTGTGTCGAATGGCACTCAGGTGAAGTTTCTATAAATCCGTTTTCCTTGTTATTTGGAATTTTTTTGTCACTGAAAGCATAATAAAAGGACTGCGAGAGAGTGCTTCTGAGTTTGTTGTCTTTGTCAGAGTAGTATTTTGTATCCTTCACAAGATCGCCGATATTGACCGAAGTTCTGGTGGGGATGGCTCACATTTGACACGTTGGAACGACATACTAAAATATACCGCATGGAAATATAATGTCGTTTTTAATTTTCTTACAATCATCTGCGACTTTGTCGTTCAGTAATGGAAGCAGCTTTCATGCTGCTTTTAGGTCACTACGCACTCCGGCAAAAGGGTCAAACACGACAGAGCACCCAAAAGCGTGAACTGAATCTATGAAGTGGCCAATAGATTGAACTTGCCTGAACTGTTGTACAATCAATTCATATGTCAAGTCAGATGAAGATCAGTTGTTGTCACGATTGTCTTTGATTTGCGAATGGAGAAGCTGACTCGGAGTTTTATGCTTGAGCAGGTGGTCATGAAACAAGCACAGAATGTGGCTCAAGCTGTGGTACGCACCCGACCATCTTTGGGACTTGCGGGCTGGTCTTGCATGGGAGCGCGCCGCAGGGTGGTCCCGACGGTGCCATCGACGCCGTCTAATAGTGAAATTGCGTCTAGTTCGTCACTTAGTAGCCAGGATGAAACTAAACTTGAAAACAGGACCTCAGTGGGAGAGGAAGGAAGATCAGACTCTGATAGCTTACCCACATCTTCGTTCCACATGGATGTGGACTTGGATCAAGAACGAAGAACTCAGGAAGCAGCTGAGTTTTGGATGCGTCAGGGGTTAAAGCAGGTCGGAGAGATTGAAGCAGAGGAAGCCTTTAGGGAAGAAGATGAAAGCGAACTACCCCATCCAGTTGAAGGAGAGGATATTGGGGAAGAGTATATATGGCAGCAACTAGAAGAAGAATTACAACGGCAGAGAGAAGAAAATAGGCTTGTACGAGAAGAAGAGGAAGCAGCTGCAGTGGAAATTACGCGAGATGAAGAGAGTATCGCATCTACTGCCGCACGCGAGTCTGACCAACAACGCATCGTTAATGAGTCGGAAGACGGGGGACCTGTACATGAATCAAATAGATTTTACCCTCCAGGCCGCATCATACACATTGTATGCCCTCTTCCTCTCCCAGGAGAAGCGACCAGTTCTGACATACCTGCCGAAGAGCATAGCCAGAGAAAGAGGGTTGGAATCTTTTTAACGGAACGAAAACTCTATGGCAAAGTTCGACTGTCTCGCACTATGGTCCACGATCACTACATGCCGACGTATAAGCGCATGATGGAGGCATTGATTTCACAGCTGGAAGAAGAGGAAGCCATTCCCGCCGATCGAGCCTGTGATTCAGATAGCGATGTCGAGCTGGAAAGATGCAATGTATGATAACGACTACTACCTCGCCGGTGCAGGTGAAAAATTACCTAGTCTCTGGGCAGACACCCATCGCCCATCCAGTGCAGCCTCAGATGTGCTGCGGTGCGAGCTGCATCGCAGCACCTCGTCCATAACCACCACCACCACCCAGAGCAGCGAAGTGCAATGCAAGCCGCTGCTGTTGTATATCCCAATGTCAAACTCACTCGATTTGTCACTCGGAAGCCTCTCACCTTCCGAGATAGATTGATAGATGGTAGAATAATCCTGATTGATTGATTCTTCATGGTCGGAAGAAATTTTACTATCCCCGTCTGTGGGGCAAATCATATTTATGCGCGGGACTCAATTTCCTTCTTCTTGGTCTCTTCTGCAGCTGGTTGTCGGTCACTAACCTACGAACTAACCATCTCATAGTGTATCTAATAAAAAGAGAGGTCTCCGCCGGGTTACCCTTTGCGAGGTTTTCCTCCGCCGCGTTTCTCTTGCCTGGAATCTCTTTTTCTTCCATCTGGTGTTTCCGAATCCGAATGCCAATTCGCTCATCGTCGTCCGAGCTTGTGATTGTCTGCCCATTGTATCATGCGTTTCTCGTATGTTTTAACCGAAACTTATGAAGAGACTACGCTTGACGGGAAAGTTTGGTGGGAACAAACTGCCGTTCCTGTCCAGTTCTTCAGTGGAGCGTCTGTCACTTAGTGAAGGCGACCTCCGAGTTACTGCCGTCACCGAATGACTGCTTGAAGAAGGTTGCACTAAACTTTCCAAACCTCGGGAGTCCCTCCCTAATACAGAAGAACGCGATGTAGGGCCCGTCCCGAAACTCGAATTGGTCACTGAAACGTTCCGGTCGGGATCGGTCCCTACAGTCGAGTATGGAGGGAAGAAGGTGAACATTTCCATTGCCGTTTCCGATTTTCCATTGATCCCTCAGTTTATTCTTTATGGCCTTCGGTACCCATCCCGGACAAGTAAGCTCTTCTTTTCAGAAAAACACGGATGAAGTATGTTTAGTTCATGTCTCGTCATTTAACATCATCTACAAGATCATCAAATTGGGCTATTTAATATAATCAAATTGTTACTTTATTACTTTTGAACTTGTGAACGGAGGAACGTTGTTGGACTTAAAAATAAAACTTGATTAATTAGAGCCAAAACGCCTAAATACAAAACAGAATCGAAATCGAGTGGTTGTGGTGGAACTCCTAAACTGGAGAGCTAAGATGTACTATGGTATAAGAGTGATCTCCTCTCTTCTTATCGGGATAGCCTAAGTGGATAATTGTGAAATATCTCGTATAGTAACTTAAACAACACTCGTTGAGTAAACACCCATTCTTCCCACGAGTCGGTGTGAGTTTCATCGTAGCTTGTGTGGGTGGCTTCACTGTAGCTTGTGTGTGTGGCGTGATGGACGTAGTGGCACGAATATGTGGAGGTTGTCAATTTGTTGTAGAACATGTTTCTGCACGTTTGGTTGTCATCGCCAATTTATCAAGTCTAGGTAGGTGAAAAAATGCTCAAGTTGTTGCTTGGTAGACCAAGAAACAGATCCACTTGCAAGCTTAAATATGTCCTAACCAACCTAGCATCTAGTTTTTTTACAACTCAGTCAATCAGGGTTGGTAAATCCGTGGAGACTGCTATCACTAGAGGGATCAAATAGAATGCCTAGATCTTGGGTGTAACTTACATAAAGAAGTATGTGTTGGAGTACACTCCAATGAGCATCGTATGTTGAATGCATGTAAAAGCTCATAATGCCTACAACATAGGAAATGTTAGCGCAATTGTGACATAAGAAGATCAATTTATCTACAATGTGACAATATGCTGAAACCTCTATTGATGTTGTGTGGGTATTACCACACAACATCAATAGAGGTTTCAGCATACAATACAAGATCTATTCTTAAGGGAATGATTTTTACCATTTGTGGTGTAATGTTGCACTCCTTGAAAAGATTCATGCATGTTTCAGCATGAAGACCTTGCCGAAAGTTGTGCGCACAAAGTCAATGCAAAGTTCACGAGCTCTAAATCCTTCATCTTATACTTTTGACCGAGTTGCAACTTTCTTTCACCAACTTCCTCCTTGCTAGTGAGTAAGATAAGCAAATTGTCAACATAGAGCATCATAATTGTGATGGTGTCATTTTCTTTTAGAAAGTACAAATTGGGATTGAACTCACTACGAGTCCATCCAAATCTACTCAAATGATTGTCAATCTCCTCGTACCACTGTTGAGAGTACTATTTCAAGCCGTAAAGCAATACATTCAATTGGTAGACTTTATCCTCATGGCCTGTTATAACAAACTGAGGAGATAGTTACATGTGGATGAGTTTTTTAAACTTGCCGTTGAAAAAAGTGATGATCGCATCTATGTGATTGAGCTCCCATCCTAAGCTGATAGATAGCGTGCGACTACTAGAGTGATACATAGAAAGATCATTGTCCCAAGTGTAGACCAGCGAACTAAGCGTGCAAACGTCTTATTACATTCAATTCCAAACTTTTGCTCAAGACCAAGTGCAATGAGCAGAGACTTGAGGCGTAGTCTAGTTGAATTAATCTCTGATTTTGCCTTGTAAATCCCCTTAGACTGCAGAACGTGGTGACCAAGGGGTTGATACACTACTTCTCATGTCAAATTTTGAATGAAGCATCAAATTATCACTTCAATTACTTGTCATTGAGGATCATTCTGAGCCATCCATTCGGAATTCTCATCACTGATGGAGTTAGTGATCTCCACGATGTCAGTGTCATTTGATGAGTCCAAGTTCCCATGTTAAAGAGGTCAAAATGATAGAACAGCCTCATAGGAGCGCTTGGAGTATTGCGTCAGGGTAGAGTTGGCAAGACAAGACTGTCCGAAAGAGTTAGGTGATCTTGATGATGTGAACCACATGTCATTGTTGTTCATACTTATAATGTTTGCTTGTGTGATTTGGTAAGAGGTGGAGGATTTGAGATCATCGTCGTCATCAAGAAATCTTGCAAAGAAGTCAACAAACGGTGCATTAGAGTGAAAATTACTTGTGGACTTATTCAAACACCATCACATTGTTGGACATTATGATTTTATGTCGGTTTAGACATCATATTCAATACGCTTTGGATTTGTCATCATAATCCACCAACACATATTTGGATCACTTGTGTTCTAGTGTGGTGTGTTTGTTTTTAAGAATGTAGACATACGCCTTGCTCCCAAGAACTCAAAGTTGGGACAGATTGAGCTAGTAGCCATATAGCTTCTCCAATGAAGTCGTGAGGTTTAATGTATGAGTACTTGATCTATTGAGCACATAGTTAACAACACGGATACATTTGGTTCAGAGGTGATCTGAATACTTACGCGAGTTAAAAATGCAGCGTGTTGACTACATTAAGGTCTAATATTTTTCTCTGAAAGTCCGTTTTGATGCCCTGTAATTGCGAAGGTCAACTATCACTGAATCCTCTTTTGGACAAGTCAGCTGGTGAATTTGGCTAAAAAGTATTTTTTTCGCGGTCGAATCTTAGTGTTGCCACATTGTTTGATCAATTGTGCTCATTATCTGTCATTGAGTGCACTTTGTGAGAAAATTGGGTTTTCACAAGCTTTACAAAATCTTTAAACTCTTGAAAGATGTCACTTTGCAAATAAAGAAAGCGAACACATATGTAATGTGTGTAATCATAGGTTAACGTAAGTATTTGAACTCAATGACTTTATGAATTTGTCCAAACAAGTAACTGTGCATTAGCTCAAAGGGGCAAGTAATTTGTTTGACAACACGTTTATGTTATTTATATCTATGTTGCTTGGCGAATACACAAGTTTCACATTTCCTATTTTTGATTATTTGCAAATAGAGGAATGATTTTCACAAACTTTCTAAACAACATGTGCGTTTTTTGGTGATTCATGTGACACATGCGTTTGTGTCACAAGTTGGTGGAATACTCCTTATTGATGATCGGAGCTTGTACGTGTTTTGTGAGTCCTGGAACATCCAAGTCGCTTTCAATCAAGTTGACTTGACGTTTAGTAACTCGTAATGTAGCAGCTCGAATTTGCATTTGCACTATCTACATTCTTTAACTCGTAGGTGGAGTACAGTTGATTCTATATACTACAATAATCACATTGAACGGTTTTCTTTGAATGTGTATAGGTTTGCATGTTGATGTAGTGCTACAAGTTTGCTTGCGTTGATCCATTACTCCATACGCAAGAAAACGAGGGAGAATGATATTGTTTAAAATCATGTCAGGACAAAAAACTCTAAAGACTACGGTGAAAAAAATGAGACACAAGATTGCATTCTCTGTCCGCATTGTGTTGTTGGCCATCCTTGTAAAACTGTTTTGAATGAAGGCGTTTAATTAAGTCATGATAGGTGAACAAAGATTCGCAACTGAGCTATCCACTAAAGTTGGAGACGAAATGGGACCACATCAAGGAAAGTACTGTGACTATGATGTGAATCAACTCCTTGTTGAGAAGGCTATAGCCAATGAAATTAAGTTACGAGATGAGGAAATCATTTCGTCAAATGTACTCGTCTGATCATTGTTTTGCATTTTAACAGCAAAAAAAGTTTGGATGAGAACGAGACGACGTTGAGGATTTTGAAAATCATACTAGGATGGTAGATGTTGCCACAGGGCAAAGAAATCTTTCTCAAACTTGCAAATGATAGGAAGTTAGTTGTCATGAACTATGAACTTTATAGTGCAATAGTGTTCATCTGAGGTTTGCGATGTGCGAGTAAGTCGTCATTGGTGGCAGAACCTTCAGTGGTAGTTGAACAACACCAATATATCAATCCTCATGACGTAATATGTATGAAGACCGAGAGACAAGTTGTGGTAATTCGCACGGCTTGTGATTTTTTTGTTGTGAGATAGAGTATCAAAAGACTTAGGCATTAAGGCGGAGAGGAGGTGGAAATTGATATAAAACAATTGCTTAAGATTTCTAGAACTGAGAAGAGACGAAGGTATGTAGAGAGAAGATAACCAAGGAACAAAGCTGCTATAATACCATGTTGTTGGACTTAAGAACAAAACTTGATTAATTAGCGAGAGGCAAAACGCTTGAATACAAACAAAATCAAAATCAAGTGTTCGTAATGGAACCGGTAAATTAGAGAGCCAAGATGTTTAACTATTTATGTGGATTACAAGACAAGAGTGATTTCCTCTCTCTTATCGGCTTAGCCTAAGTGGATGGATGTGAAATCTCTCGTGAAGTAACTTCAAACAACAAGCAACTCATACTATATATCAACAATTTGTTTATAGAGTGATTCCAATTTCTTAAATACAAGAGGATTTCTTAAATCTTAATTTTGAGAGTCAATAAAGTCATCATCATTTTTATCAACGTTGTGGGAACTCATAAAATATAGTTCACATTTATGGTTAAACCAAAAGCATCATCTTGTATTAAGCATTGTCAATGGCATGATCCATATATTCAAGAAGAGATTCAAATATCTTCTATAAAGATGAGAAGAAAAGACTTCAATTAAAAACATGAAACAAAAATTGAAACATGATACTATTGCATTCAAAAATCAAACTCACTTGTGCATTGATGCTGCAAGATATGTAAAGGAAGAAGTTACGTCAATTTGTGTCACCAGACTCTATCAAAAATGCAAAAATAATGGCATTGAAAGTCAATACAGAAGCAATGAACAAGATAGAAGGTTTAGTAAACGCAATTATACAAGCTATCGCAACTTAAATCTTTGGGTTGGGCAAGAAAAACTTGAAGAATTTATTCATGTCTATGATGAAAACAATGAAGTATTTACAAGTGAAATTTTGGACGACGTTGAAGAAGTTTTGTAGAGTTTGAAGATTACGTGAACAAATAGTTATTGATAAGTCTTCATCTAGCATAAAAAGATTTTATTTTGCTAGTATTCAAAAAAAGTAAGATGATCTTGTTCATATTGTAAACGTTTTAAGGAGCATATTGGGCTATATTTTTGTAGAGTTTGTTTGAACTGCGAGCAATACATGATCAATTTTGTTGACTTCAATTCTCTTAGTGAGGTAGCATCATTTGCAACTCTCGACGCACTCTAAATCAAATTAACCATTGCCAAGATGTACTAAAATCAAAATTAATAAAATTCATGTAATATATTTTGCTTTGGAGAAAAATGACGAAACAAGAAAATTGGCACAATGCATGCGGTCAATCCATATATAAATCTTGTTTTCAAGTTCAGGAAAATGATCAACAGAAGATCAAAATCTTCTCTTTAGCTTCATCACACATGAACTCAGATTGCTTCAAAATTTCTTCCCGTTTATTTGAAGTTGCATGATTGCTGTTTTATTTACATTGTACACACGTGCTAAAATATTTTACTATGAACATCAGTCTTACTCAACTTTTAGATGATATAACATCTCTTGAACTTATTGAGTCGTTCATCAATCAATTTCTTCAACATTGCAACTTCAAAACAAGTATTTGACAGTGTAGTTTCAACCATGGAAGTCAACTGATATGAACACTTTCACTCTTGTTTGCTTGCTACTAGGTTACAATCATATACACTAGTTCTCGCTCACAGCAAAATCGATTGTGAAAGAAAGAAAAAAATTCGGTGAAAAAACTATTTGTTGCCACTATTTATACCACCAATGCGATACACAAGAATACCGACAACGAGTTCAGAGCGCCAAAGTAACCTGCCATCATTTGCATCACTAATGCAAGAAACGTGCATGCTAGCAATAACTTATGAACGGTAAATGAACCTACCAATTCTTTAACATCCCTGTTATCGAATTGATCATATCCAAACAATAAGCTCAAATGAAAACTATGTGTAGCAGCAATGTGACATTTGATGATTCGTAAAGACACATATGTTTAGTTGGCGAGTATCTCTATTTAGTTGGCAAAAATACCCGCTTGTCTTAATTACACCTGATCAGTTTAGTTGGCGGAAGTAAGAGTTTGTCTTAAGTACGGATCTCCTTGTGAAGTACGCAAAGTCCTCCTAGGATCAATTTGACTACTTAACCGGGAGATTGCTGCTCTTGACTTAGTCGAGTGATGACTTAGTTATATTATACGGTGAGATATGTAATCGGGATATGAAAGCAAATCTTCGCTAAGCTAATGCTATGAATCACATCGCACTTGCTAGCGGGTGGCTTGTACTCCGTTGATAGTTATAAGCGCAGAGAGCTTGTCTCCATTGGAAAGCTGAATTTTGAATTGGTGACCGATGAAGTGTGCTTAAGAACCAACAGTAAGATCTTGTATTTGGGGAAACTGCAGTATTTGTACTCAAATACCATGAATCCGAAATTGTATTTTTGAGCTATTTTAGCTCGAGAGCATCATATGCTATCAAACCCTCGATGTCAAGACCAGTTACATTGATCCAAATCGGGTAAAGTATCAACCTGGAAACAATGGACTTCAAAAGCTTGTAATCTGATTTTCAAGTAAATAGCAAATCATATGAGGAGGCCGCTAGTGTCGCTATTGAACTTCTCATATACTAACTTGATATGATTAATTATATGAACCTTGCAAAGAATAACCTGGCCGAGAAACTATGGTTTAAATTTTGATATTATTGTAATATGTTGATCAAAATTTATGTATATAAATAGCAATTTCAAACATGCACATATAGTTCAACATTTTCGTTTGATAAATTTTCATGCATTACTACAATTGAAATACATAATCTATAAATGAAGTTTTTGAAACAAAAAAGTGCTAAAATCACAATCCACAAATTTACAAAACTAAAAAATTTGAATGACAAAAATTTAATGATCATTAAGTATACTGTTATTTGTGTACTTTGCTTGATGTTACTTCATTTGCTAGTCATTTTATTCATATGTGTTATGGTTGAGCACATTGTTTGAAATAAATAAATAAATATATACATATATATAACACATTTTTAATGTGAAATATCAATATTATTTACATTGAGAATTGAGAATTTTTTTATCTTACTTGCTGTAATGACTATTGACTCAAAGACATCATAAGTAGGAATTTCGTACTTGTTATATGAACATATGGCCATTAAGACATATACAATCTTATGGAAATTAAAGATAAAAATATATACACCAAACCAAGGTGAAACCTGGAATATATTAACTGATTCGAGTAAAATATAGCAACTATGATGAACCAAATCCAATAGCATGCATCTTTGGAACAACAACTTACATGAATTTATCAATAATATAAACTATGACTGAATAGAGGGTCCAGACCGTAGAGCTCTAATCCAATCGGTCGGCATGGAAGAAAGAAGAGATTTCATGTCATACATTTGGAGCTGGAGCATCTTTCGTATGACTTAAGGAATGCATGTAATTGATATGTTCACATTCCCATATACAATTCAAGATGTACTCATTTGCATTCACAAAACGGCAAAATGAAGAGTGATTAGCCAAACAACAATGTCCATTGTGCCTCCAAAATGTCTCAATTGTACACTATGAATTAATCTTAAATTTCCATAAGAAAATACATGAAAGAAAAGTAATGAACAAAAAGGATAGATGTATCAACATTGAATCAAAGTATCAGAGCACACCTAACTGTATTTGCAGAGACGATTGGTGTGAAGCACATCATTAATATATGTGACGCAAGAATGGCGCAAGAAAAAATATCCCATATGAAATTAGCACTCTTAAAATTCGTATGAGGAATGAAGAGTAATAACTTAGAGTCAAACCATGCACTTTGACTCTCAAGAGTGCAAACTAAAATTAGGTTGCTTCCTGGTCAAAGAAAAACGTCCCTTTGAATAACAAATATTACTTAGCAAATTCATGTGGAACATGGAGTCAGAACGTGGCTAAGGGTTTATGCAATTAGTTCATAATTAACTCTTGTTTTGAAAAAAACCCTACTCGTTAAGACAAAACATAAAAGCTCGAAATTACTTGGGAGAAAATATTATGTGACCCGAGTGACAAGATTCTTTACGGATAAGCAAAGCTCGCGCTGAAAGGATCGAGATCTCAATTCTCTTCAGATCATGGAGGACCCCATAACTCCGATGTGCACACGGAAGCTGATGCCGTGTCAAATGGTAAAAATACGCTTCTCAAAACATTTTCCGAGGTCCTTCGCAAACAGGGCAAGCTTATCCGAAACCTCTAAATTCAGGAGATGGGATGCAAATTATGATTCAGATTGCTCGACGGCGACGCCGGGTTAGGCTGCAGCCAAATCTCTAACTCGGGTTCCGGCGCTGGACCTGGATGGGTCAAGGAATGTCGTCGATCGACGTCACCCCCTTCGCTTCGAAGCCTTGCGCTCGAGTACTCAACATGTCAATAGATTCGAAGGCTCGTCGGCTCGTCGGCTCGTCGGCTCGCTGCAGGGCAAATGCTCGGCAGGAACAAAGATCCTGTGACTGGATGTGACACCCTGCCACCTCAGAGGATCATGTGGTCGATTGCGTCTTCTTTTTGCTTCACCTCCCGAACACTGAAGAAGAAATGGTGGCGAATCTGGAAATCGATTTGCTGCGGCATTCATCGAAATTGCCCGTGGGTCGTTATTATTGGAGGAGGAGGCGCAAAAGATGGAGTTCGGGGTGGGGTTGCGGTTGCGGTTGCCTGCTTTGGTTGAGATTAATGGCCTTACTGACGCATGGAGAGACATGGGGTCGGAGGAGTACTTGCACTTTTCGCCCGAGTGGGTGGGTGGGTGTGCAGCCAGCCCCGTCTGCTCCAAGACCTGCGCGCAGCATATGCGCTCAGAGCGGCCGCTTTCGAGAGGGACGTCTGCTGCCCATTTGTTCCGTCGATTGAGGGAGGGGTTTGCTGCTGAGACCGGAATACCATTGCGAAAGTCAAATCAAAAGAACGAGGCTTTGGGGGTAGAATACGACCTGCTGCGCCACTCCACCTCACTGGTGCGCTAGCAATACAGCTCCATCCTTCGGTCAGCTCATGCTCGAAGCCAATAATGCTGTACTACTCCAACATGTGAGTGTCAAGCGCAGTAATGCTCTGATTCGAATTGACCGGATTTTGACGACCGACCACACCGCCGACCGATTAAAATAGGAGCCAGTTGACCCACTCCCGCTACAGTCTTTTCTGACTCGCTTGATAGCTCTGGCATTGAGAAGTCAATCCATGATGTCGAGAACTGAGTTTTGTAGATATTACCTTTTTCTGAGATTTCTTATCCCCTCTCTTCGCGGTCGTGTTCTGTGTTATGTGCTCAACAGTACGAAAAGCCAGGAATCGTATTCAAGAAAAGGACGTGCGTTTCAAGAGATGATTTGCTCAAACTAGGTATCAATCTCTTGCAAACACTGGGACGAGAGTTGTCACCTCAGAGGTGGCCCCAGTTTCATAAGAACCTTTCCCGTAGCGAAAATGATGGGCCTCTTTAAAGATGTCGTTTAACAAATATACGAAGTTGGAGACCGGCGATGGACGACGGTGACGTCGTCGATGACGTCAGAGGTTACCCTAATTCGATTAACAACCAGCGGGACATCGGCATGACTCGATGTAAGTCCGTCAGTCCGTCGGTCAGCGAGCAGCCCCGCTTTCTTCGAAGGCAACAGCCAATTTCTTGCTCCATGTCAGCGCTGCGCATCATGGACATGGACTTCTCCTGACTGCTCTCGAATGTGTCAAGAGTTGAACACGCTTTCCGGATGACTGACTGACCGACTTCGATTTCAGTTCTGAATGGATCCAATCTCCCACTCCCGTGCCCTGCCCTGATCTGTTCCTGCACATACCGTAACTAAATGTGTCAGTACTCAGCTCATTCTCATGTAACTCATGGAGCCCCATCTGCTCGTATTGTTCTTCGCCCACCATTAAAAAAATACTATTTCTCATCTCCACGCATTTGAGCACGGGCCTTGCGCTCTCGATCTATCTCAGTACTTTTTAAGTGTCTATCATCGTGACTTCGCGTAGATACCACAACACTGGTTTCGAGGTTTCAAAGGTGCTGGCTTTGCAAGCTTCACATCCTTCACATTCCTGCTGAAAGAACAGTTGTGTCAGTCTCCTCCGACGACAATTGCTGAAGTTTTCCAGTGTCAGAACTGCTGCACATCGAATTCTTCGGTGCGTCTCGCTCCGCCATCTTTTCATCATGGAGATTGCATGTGCACTTCCTCACACAAGCACAAAATACTTACTTACAGGTATATATCTGTTGCCTTTACTCCAGACCTTTGCTTATATTCGTCAGTAGAATAAATCGACTAGATTTATATAATTTGATCTCATCATGAAAACTAATTTAAGCCGATTTTAGATTCTCACAAAAAATCTCTTTTAAATATAACTTATGGCAAGTTTACTCCGGGTGGAGACCTAAAATAAGAGTGCCAACATAATTTAATCTTTTATGGGACAAAGAAACTTGTTTAGAGAAGAAAAAACTGCATCTATATTCACAAACAATCTCATAAATTATATTTATGATATTGTTTGTCAATGAAAAGAGTTACTGTCAAAGCCGAAGTGACGTGAGGCTAGTATTTTTTATAAAAGTACAATGTTACTTATCACTTCTGGTGATAAGTTCACGATAGAGCCAAAACATGCGTTTCTACACATAAATGTGCTTCCAAGCGTTCCATGACATTGTAATTCCATGTCACACCACCTTTGCTACAAACTAGTATTTAGAATTTAAGATTCACGTGCAGAGCCGTCAACTTGTCTATTGAGTTGGGTCACTAGTGCACATCAAACACCTCTATCGAACGAAGGGAGATTCACATTAGATTTGTGTTCTCGAGAGATGTGAAGTCCCTTTGTGCACATTCTACGAATTCTATTGGAACCAGAATACTCACTTGTTGTGCCCTGCACTCAGTTCGAGAAGCCTCCTGCTTCCATTTCGCGCAAGTGTGGCTCCTATCTGCTCTAGAAAAGGGCAAAAACCATTAGCCGTTCGTGAACTTACCACTAGTCAAGCCAATTTCAAATTTTTTTTTGAAACAGATAACCGTCTCTTCAAAATTTTGCAGACTTTCCAAGAAGATAAAGGCTGAACTTTGTACTCTTCAAACACTATAAATAGGATTGAAATATCCTGTCAGAAATTCAAATATAATGAATGAGTATTGAGGCATGATGGAAATGGACAATATAAAGATGTGGTCTTGGTGTAAATTGACAAAACCTTGGATATGACAGTGGGATGTTAATGCCAAAGACACACTATGATGTCTTTGATGATTAAGATAACACCCCATTCAGATCAGGTAAATAGAGGGAGACATACTAGTTTAGCATTAATTTAGCAAAAGGGAGAGTATATTTAAGTATTTTAGGCGCTGCTACATATGTTTGACTAAATTAAGCATGACTGCTAATTTTTTTTTTGAGACTTGTGTATCTTCTATGATTTTCATTATTGTATATTATAAATTCCATCCCAACATAAGTGAATATGTATCCCCAAATGTCTTGAATAAAGTGGTTCCTTGTAGATTCATGATTATGACCTTGTATATTCATGATCTCAAGAAAAAATCTTTTTCTTCGATAGAAAACGTGACTTATCACACAGTGAATCATTCTTCTACAATTTTCCATTAGCATATATATATATTTATATATTTATTTATTTATTTTCTTGACAAACTTTGAGAAGAATCATGAAAATTTTGATGAAATCATCAAGTTATAAAATTTTGAAAATTCTTTATGCAAGATGACACAAAAACAAATCTCCCTTGATTAGATTTCTCCATGATCAAAGCTACGACACCAATTCTATTTTTATAGTTCATGATTATAGACATTATACTCTGGTTGTGGGATGCAAAAATGATCATCAGTGTTTTATATGAAAATTACGTTGTTGATCGTCATTTTCTTTTTGTGTTTTTTTATAAGAAATTAAAGATGATTCGTAGAAAAATAATTTCACTACATACATAAATGCACTTGCAAGACAAAATGTAAGCATTTGGATCTTGATTCAACCCATCAATCAGATCTTTTTAAGCCACATTAGCTACCTATACTACAAAGAATAAGTAGTTTTTTTCTAGTTTTTCTTTATTTTCTCATCTAAGAATATACTACTTCATGTGATTTAGAGACCATAGACATCATATGATGTGCTTTACGTGTCAGGGTATATCCATGCATGTGGTTTTTGCTATCATATGAGAAGTTAATATAGCTCACATGGAGTAGGGTTCTTATAAATTACAATATGGAGTCATGGGGCAAAGTTTAACTTGACTCTAGATTACCAGATTATTGTTACTAACGGTGAAGTCCATCTTTGTGCATGGATGGTGACTGGAGTATCATTTATCAAGGTCTTAAAGTATGTGTGATATGTAAAGAGATACACTTCTTGTTAATCTAGCTTTATATATTTTTGGGCTACAAACTTTGACATGTTATATGAAAGAACATATCATATTTGTAAAAATAAAATACCATTTCTTCAGATTAAAGGAGTAGATTTTTGTACATTTAATGTATCTATTTACTTCATAGAGCACTATTTGGAGTAAAACAACGACTATTGAAACAATTTGACATAGTTCAAATATGTTACTTGGACAATGACATATTTACTATATGACATATTTTGGTTCATTGTCTCAGGTTACACATTTGGATTATTTTATATGATATTTGATGGATAGCTCCCATATTATGGTTATAAGACTCGGTGTACCTTACTACTTGCATCCAAATTTGACCAATCCGCATTCAAGATATTCACTTTCTATTTTTTCTTACTATTCAAAGGTGCTAAAAACACGACTATAGTATTTCCGTACAGGCGTGTGGCATATACCCAACATATGCGTGGAAGCGATAAATTAGTCCAATTTATTTACTCAGGTTAGGGGCTCGTTACATATGAACTGGGGCAAGAACAAACGATTCTATTTCAAAGTCTGCCCTCAGTACCAAACGAGTGTTAACAAAACTAGAGTCACATTAATTGCAGACCCACACACAGGAACATGATGCACGTCCATTTAATAATGATTGAAAGTATTCCGTTTGTAAATTGAACGAGGGCGAATCAGCGGGTAATGTCACATGGTTTGGGGACATGTCCGATGGTCCCTTACTCATGTCACCATTCAGCTGTCCAGCTCATCATATGTTCGTGCAGTCAGCTCGTCTTATTCACGAGTTTGCCCAATCAGTTTGGACACCTCAGGACGGTTTTTTCCTAGTCAGCGGACAGCTAATTTTAAAATTTTACCAAGCGTGCAAGACATTTATTTCACACAGGTCCCGACATTGTGGGAAATTCCGACCCATGTTTTTGAATTCCCTGGCGCGGCTGGATGCCTTCCCAGAATATCGACCCCGGAGGCGACGAGCGTAAATTCGAACGTATTTGAAATTGGAGCTAAATTTGAACTGTGTCCGGATGTATCTTGCGCTCGAGAGGCGTGTAGCGTCCGCCGGTTCGAAATTTGAATTGACCACGCTCCCCTTGGCTCCTTGTAATGAGAATAAAGCTGCGGTGCGATGAGCGCGCGGCTCGCGCTCTGGTGCAGCTCAATCGATCGATGGTGGCAAGGGCGATTCCTCGTGGAATTCTGGAGCCAATTCCGTATTTGAATTCTGTGCAAATTGCTCTGAATTAAATTCGTGCGCTTACTGCGTCGAAGTGTTGGGCGAACATCGTTGAAAGGAATGGCGAGAGAATTCCGCTTTGCCGGAAATTTCTCGCTCGGGGAGCACGAATGCGTTGGAGCATTGGAATGTTGGAGTAAAGAGACAAGGCTGGAACATGCATGCACTATGTGAATATTTTATGGAATGTGGTCTCGTCTTTTGTGGGCTAGTGGGGATATACTTCTGGTGAGGAAGGGAGGATTCATGGATCGCGCCGTCCTGTCGCTGTTTCTGTTGCCGGGTGAAGAGTCAGAGGCTGTGGATTGCAGTGGGCAATAGTGGTCAGTGGCAGCATTTCTTGTCTTGTCTCCAGAGATGCGGGAGGGGGAGCATGTCCATGATGCGGTGCAAGGATGAATCTGGTGGCGTCACGGAAAATTGTCCTTGCAATTGGTGTGCAATTCATATAAAACTTCCCCTCAACCAATGTTGTACAGTAATCTGAGTCAGAATAATCTGTCCGCTTCTCGAATCACACTCACCCCTCACGATGAATCTTGGTTGAACAGTACCTTCGTTCTGTCAACACTCCATGCATCCAACAAAAATAAGATTTTAAGGTCTCAAATTGCAGAAAGTACTCCAATTTGATTGGAATCTCCTGCAGGTAATAGTCTTCGCTCTCTCTGACGTTCAATCTCGATGGCGGAGCAACTGTGGCTCTATTGTGTCAAACTCCGCATACATCTGGTGGTTGCAGGTCATGATTCACCAACATGCGCGTACAATGTCCTTGGGCATCGTTCCGTAGGCTTCTTCCGCAAGGTTGAAACTACATAACGAAACGCTTCCTCTGTGTCAAGTTTTCCCCATCCACACGATGCATTCAATTGGTTTTAAACGCTTTCTACGAGTTAAAGTATTCATTTGATAGTGTTTTTGATTCATGAAGGTATCGATTTAGTCTTTTTCATCACGTTTAGACCTACCTTATGGAACGACTGTAGCTCTGTTCTGGCAATATTCGTTCACATCCAGATGACGACCCTTGCTATCACTCAACCCTCGGGTTTCGGTTCAGTCCATCGAGTGTTTCAGTATCTCCAGCAACATGAGTCATAGTCATAGACGAAAGCTTTTTTTGTCAAAGTCTGGCGAGGTATTGCCTACGTGTCAATAAAGGTCACAAATACGAATTGCGGGTGAGCGAGTCACACAGGGATGAGCATTAGATCGGGTTTTGAGGCTTTTCCTTTTAAAACCCTCACAGGGAATGGCTTGTCGCCAACTGGGATATGGATATTATTCTGCGACCAAAATGCCGCCTTAACCTGTCGCTATCCTTTGATCCTAGACAATGGGTCCATACATTGAAGAGTCCAGCAGTGTTTTCGACAACAAGATTTTCATGCCATGCGCGAGTTCGAACTTGATGTGAAACTTAGAGGTTTGTGACTTCTGCACAGTATGTACTAAAACCTTCCCAACATCGAGTGATCCAAATTGCTATGTCCGGTGTGGGGTCGCTTTGTGGTCTACTTGCAGCTAATTCTCCTGAAAGCCGCCCTGTTGTAGCTCCTGGCTCCAGACACGACGACGTGGTTGTGAATTGACTTCTCTTAAGGTCATCGACGCCACCCTTTGTTGTCCACAAGTGGTGAAGGTAAGTCTTGAAGGCAGAAGAGAGCTGTCCCAGGAGCCAGACGTTTTGGAACACTGGACGAGCCAAAGCACATCACAGAAAGTGGGACCCTTTTCCTCTCCCCTGAAACTTCTAGAGGTGTCCCGAAGGACCTCCCTTAGCCCCCATTATTTCTAAGCAACTAGACCTTAACTTTGAACCTAATCTGGAAGGCAACAGCGTTTTGGCAATGCCAAATTCGAGGAGAAATAGTCTTCCGATTTGATATGAGAATTCATCCCGTCACTATTCTAGGCACGACCTGGCCAGAGCATGTTGGGCTGGGGAGATATGAAGCTACATGGGAAGCTGTTCCATTTTTCTATGTTGTGAGCGAGTGGTGTGAGGAGATGGTCAATGAGCTGTCGTATTTTCAGAACCAGCTGATATCCAGCAGCAATGCTTACATGACGCGTCGCTCTTCGGAAGCCCCGGCTGGTCCGATACTGATCGGACAAACATTTACATGTAGAGTTGGATTAAAGTATTGCCGATCTACCTGGCGCCGGCTATTCTCGTAACGTGTCTCCTCAAAGTATTGCATAATTTGCTTTCCGAGCTTTGGAGGGCTTTATAAACCAACGCGCCCAAAACCTCACTGCTGAATGAAGCTTCTCAAGAATCACTAACTCTTTCTTTCTCTCATTCTCGTCTCCATCTTCTTCCCAATCTTCTGGACTCTTCCTCCTACCAAGTTCTTCCTTCTCATCAAGTCCTCGTCTACAGCCGTGAGTGGTACCCAACGTCCGCGTAGAATTTGGAGGTTTTATTTGGGATCCAGTCGTTTCAAACTCGTGGACTCTTGTATTCATGGCTAGCGAACAGGTGCAGTTGGAAACTGTCAAGGAATTTGATTTCGCCGATTCTGAGCAGAGGTTGAAGGAGTTTGATGCTGAGAAAACGAACACGCTCCCGAGAATTCAAGTTAGGGGTACAGCAGCTAAGCCACCAAGGCATAGGATGCAGCATATGCACAAGCCTGGTGCTCCCCGGGCCTGTGACGCATCCTTGTGTCTTCCTGCTGACCAATTCGGCGTCGATAAGACGAACCTACCAACGGATTTGGCGAAGTTCACGAGGAAAAGGCTGGAGAAATTGCCAAGATTCCGGGTTTGAAAAGACGGAACTTAGCGGAGGCACAAGATTACAGTAAGATCAAATATGTTAAGTCCTTTCCGTGCACCCGCAGAAGCAGCTCCTCTTTTCACTATCCAGTGTGATCATCTTCTTCAGGTCTGTGGGGATGGTTGCTGTATTTATGTACTAAAGCAGGTCTTGGAATCTTCTTCGGTCAGGCTGTAGAGAATCCTTACATCATCAAAGTCGACAGTCGTTTACAGGTTAAGGTGCACTTATCAGTGCCTTGGCCAAGATCATGTTGGCGGGTACTACGATCTGCAGACGTCTTCTCTACGGTACTTCGGCTTAATACAACACACGTAACACCAATTCAGCAGAGTTTTCATGTCTCATGAACATATGATGATTGGGAACCTTTTCCAATCGAGTCCATGTGAACATGCCAATAGCAAATCTGGTTTCAACAACATTTTTGAACAAGCTCATACCAACAACAACGTCGGCAAACTGGCATCAACAATTTCAATTCGGAAGATCCCGAAAGAAGACAATTCAGCTCCAGGGCATCTATCGTCTCCTCATTTGCAACAATGCTGGAAGGAGAAGTTTCCAACATTCACATGAATTGCCCGAGGAATTGCAGGTCAGAGTCGACGATTGCACTCTACAACTATACACCGTATCATGCAGTGCCGGAAGGCTGGGAGTCCATCCGAGCTCTTTGTATTCAGAGAAGCCTGTTAATGGCAAATTTTGTACCAGACGACCGAAGTGTTGCAGTAATTTGTAGAATTTTGTAGACACAGGGTCGAACCTCAGAAATTGTACATGTCGCAACTAGTGCATCGTAATGTACATCGTACGGTGCACATAGATATCCCCAGAGAGTTAAACCTGTTCAATTCGATGTGGTATTTCATTCTATACGCAACTTCTCAAGACCATTTGTCTTGGAAGAGTTTTACATTATCCAGTTTAGTTCTGAAAGTAGATCCAATTCTTGGATAATGGCACATGAGTCCTATCGTGATCACATCAAGAGTAACATGTTGAGCAGCTTGCAACGAATTGAGCGTCAAGGCTCTCTAGGGTAAGTAACAAAAGCGATAACTTCGAACACTTTCAGGTGACGAGACTGGCTGCAAAGGGGTGAGTACTGACGCCGAGCAACTACATCTCTACAAGAGCATGGTTTCCAGCGTGATAGGCTTACGACTAAGATTGACTCAGCTCACGTGGAAGGGGCAAAGATTCAATGCGTTTCAAGGTGAGCCCAAAGCTACCATGGCTTCAGACAGAAAAGAAGACACCTATAGAGCCTCTTGTAGAGATTTTGTAGCCAGAAAATGTTCTTCAACAGCAGATTACTGCAACGAATTATCTTGCAACGAAATTTATAGAATATGCCGGATCTTGCAGCATATTTTGGACTCAATCCTTAGATCCGACAGTTGTCGCAGTACCCACAAGACAGAACACGATTTAGAAAACTCCGCATCTTATCACAATTCTGAGTATGGAGACGTCATTCTCATAGCACCCGCCCGAGGATTCCCGCAGTCATTTTCATGTAGAGAGCAGCAGCAGCAGCTGATGGAGATCAGTAGACGATCACTCACCACTAGATTCCAGCTCTCTGCTGATAAAACACAAATTGTATTCAGAAAGCCGTACCTTAGTGAAGAATACTATGCTGTTACTCATTTCAACAATCATGTCCTGAAGTGTTTCTTATACGAGGGTGACTGTTTGGATTTTTTTCGTGGGCAAGAAGCTTACATTAATACGTCGGACTTGTATGATACTCTGCAATTTCAGAATTGGTTGGTTCACGACAAATCTGAAAACTGCGTTGCAGATTTGCAGGCGAGGAGAATCCTGCTGAGTTGTGGAACTTAGTGTTCGAAAGTTGACGTGACAGGTCGACTTGAACAATTTCCTTGTTTATTTTTACTTCGGAATCAAATATACACTTAATATCTTTTCCAGATTTTCCTCTTGTAAGCTCTGCTTTATGGAAGATGCGTGGATATCTGTAGAAAATTGACGGCATCGACATCATTTTTTCGGCCATGCAGATCGTTTCAAATGTCAGCGTTCTGAGCATCCCTGCACAGCAAACCCTAGGTACGTCACTATACTAATGAGCTGCATGTATAAAGTATCCACATATCCTGAAATCTGAATTTCCAGGTTTGAGCCTCATACTTGCATACTTTTTATCACCTAATCCACCTTTCCTAATTAGTGTCGATCAAACGAGCGGGCCTAGAATGCTTTGAGATTAAGAGGAGATCGAAAAGATGCATATTAGTAGAATAATACAGTGTTTGTGACTCTTTGAGTCGAAAGCCAGCTTGCTGCCGCATCGTGAAATCCTACTTCTTCACATGCTTAGCGCACTGCTCAGGAGGATTCAACGTCATTCAAAGGGCATGCTAGAAGAAAATCTCCAGTACTCACGACACGAAGTTTTCGGTAATGTTCTGAATGAAAAAATTATCAGTACATGTAGCAATGTAAAGCATGCACATTCGAAGCCCATAAATTTGGTCAAATTTGCATCCTCTACTAGTCTGAAGTGTCAATTTACAATCTGAGGCTGAATGGAAGAGGGGAGACTTCGTGGATATAAGTAGTTAACTATTTAGTGTAAGACAAACGAATTTGGAGATACCGATTCGTACTATGTTGGCAGCGTAGAGATGTACAAACAGTTTTGGAGACTAAGACGTATGCAAGTCTTGTACAGCATTTGTAGTGCAACTTACATACTTCTGGAGAAATGAAGTACAAGGGTCTTTACCATTTTAAACTATTATCCAGTGGGAAGAATTCTTCTTCAGAATCACTGCAAACCTGCTCACCTCAATTTGTACATTCAAATGATGTCAAAACGCAATCATCACACTTGAAAGATGGCACTGCATCTAAAGTACACTTTGGCTAAGACGCAACCTGAAAGTTCGTAGAAAATTATATGACTCGGTAGACTAATATGTAAGAGTTAACTCGTGAAATAACTCTCCATAGTTAAAAAATAACATCAGATTCCAGTTATTTTAGATGATAACTTGATAATTATAATAACAGTTCTTTTCCTTTATTTTGTTCCATCTTTTTTATCTGATTTCCAATCTCTTTGGTTTAACTTGCGTCTCTGTCCTCTATCTATTAATCTGGACTCATTTATTCATAGTCACTAATATTGAGTGATGACAAATGAGAGATGGGATCGTTTTTTGTAATATGATATGTTCAGATTCTTATATTCCCATCGCAATATTCATGAATATAATATATTGAATTGCTCATAACAAAATCGTTTCACAGGTTTCTCACTATCGCCGGTCGACTGCACGAAAACAGTGTAAACCAGTCAAGCGTTGTAGTAGCACAGTAATCTGGTCGGTACATTCCAGTTCCATAGGTTTAATAATTCTCTGCTCAATAGTCTATCTGCACTGGCTATTAACAGTCAACGGTTCCTCCTGTGCAGGTCATAGACTCGTAGCAAGGGGATGAACACGGTCACCTTCTGAGTTCTATTATCCAGCTTACAGCTGCTTTGTTCGAATCCAAATCAAAGAACACTCAGTTCAACCCCTGGATGCACCTCAAATCCATTGGACAAATCTCTGTTCCGGTTACAACAGCACTCTGAGGCCCAAAGCAGACATAAGGACCGGGATACTTCCAGTTGACACGTAATACAAGTCAAGAAACACTTGAGAGAAAATAGTCCACATTAAGAGGTCTGACTCACATTTATTAGTATAGTCGCATCAGATTCCCGTCCTAAGTTTTTGACAATATCTCTCCATCGAAATCAGCATACCATCATGATGCAGAATGATTAAATAAATGTAGATTGCTCTGAAGTAAGAAACCTTTCGACTGAAATCTCAAAGTCAAAGCTTCTCGTTTCGAGTAACTGAATCTACAGTTTACACTTTTGATTACGTTCTAATTTGTTCGCATTGTACTAATGATAGCGCAATATTGAGTAGAGCACACGTGATTTTGTTTTACTTGAAGAGTACAAGTCACCTGTGACATCCATCCTGATTTCTCTGATAACCGCATCATCTGATGTTTAGACTAGAAATGTTTCATACCTTGCTTTTCTGTATCGTCCCATGGACGATTCATCCGGTGACAGATGAGCTTTTAATTAACCTCTACATTTTCATCTTTGTCTTTGGATAATGAGCAGTCTCTCTATATAGGGCGGATTAAATATGTTTCGTATCTCAACCAAATAAAGTACGGAACTTGGCAGAAATCTCTCATGTTTTCTTCAATAAAGTCCAAATTTGACGGCAATGCAATACAATTTTGAGGATATGGTCGCTTACAACTGCAACGAAAATTCATCAAAACAATGAGGGCATGTCACGAACCCGTTGAGAAGCATCATTCTCGTCAAAATAAGCCATGATTTCATATCTTCTTTTGAAAAAAATAAGATACCTTGTATATCAATGCCCAATGAGTAACAGATAAATTTGGACAAGTGGTTTGAATTTCATTGATCAAAATCTTCTGACATCATAAAACAGAAATATCTTTTGCATCACAATACCCATATCATGCAACAAACATCAGACACTAATGAAATATGGTATAAGCATCTCCTGAATAAGCATCACAATTGCAGATTAATGTGCCGTCATATATGTAGCACCATTAGTAGAACACATAATTAGCTTGTACTTTCATAAGGGACAAACTGCATCAAATAACTTTGAAAACATCTCCAACATTGTCAATCATGTATGTTTCCCAGAATAAGTAAGTGTAATAAGGTAAAGATTCTCAAGAGAAGATTTTTGATAAAATCGGATTTGAACATCAATCCAAGAAACTACTTGTATGTCACACACGGCTGGCACCACGCGGTTTTTTACAATCGAGTTTTATTTGGTTTTTTAATTAAACTCGACAGCCTACGAGGCTCCAAAATTGAGTTTTATTCCCCATGAGTGCTTTAATGCGTGACTCACGCACGATCCTGCCGCCGATCCTTGCAACTGCAAGTACGCCAACATATATTATTCTATTGTCAGTATATTAGCAAAATTAGCACCCTCTAGTTAGTACTACTAACTACTATGTCGCAATCGTCGTTTTCTCCAAGCGAGTTTGACAAGACTGTCGATAACTTCAACAACGACGTTCTCGATCTTCAACCGTAAGACGTGCAGGTCGCCATGGAGGACATCGAAATGGTCGTCGTTGATGATGATATTGCAATGGAAGTCATGGCGCCGGAACAGACACGCGGTCGCTCTGCTAGCGCAGTCTGGAACTGATACACCGATGATGCGTCTCCGCAAAATGCCAAGAGTGTCAAATGCATGCACTACAAGACTTTGATTAATCATCATAAGAAGAGCGAGAACGCCAAGGTGCACCTCAACTCTTGTGCCAAGTTCCGCACATTCATAAACGGCTTGAATGATGATGAACGTACTGATTGGTAAAGACAAAACAAGAAAGGTGGAGCCACCAACAAGGCGGTCGTTGACTCTCAACGTGGCAAGAGCCAAGCGAGCAGCAGCATTTAGAGTTCCATCAAGTCCTTCGCGCTCTCAAAGGTGATCGGATCCATGAAGCAGTTGTTTCAGAAGCAGATGGCGTTGCATTACTTCGCCACAGGCACCTCGTTCCAGCGGATCAAAGATGTGCATTTGAAGGAGGCCATCAAGATTCTCCGTCCTGATGATGGGTTGCTGTCGAATTGAAAGCAGCTGGCGACCACACTTCTCGACCAATGTCACCAGGAGCTGAAGACGAAGGTCGACCAGCGCATGAAGAACGTGATTGCATGTCTCACAAGAGACGGCTGGTCGAACATCAACAACGAGGCAGTTGTGAACTACATGGCCGTGTCACCGGGTTGCTCATTGTACCTGGAGGCAGTGCAGACTGGTCAACAAGGACACGATCACGAGTTCATTGCCAAGGCCGTTGAGCGCGTGTTCACGACGTACAAGGACAGGACATTCGCAGGCGCGGTGATGGACAACACAAGTGCCAACAAAAAGGCATGGGAAGTTCTCAAGACAAATTACCCGTCCAACTTCTTCCAGGGCTGTACCTCTCACGGCCTACACCTCCTTGTCAAGGACATTTCCTGTGCGAAAAAAATCAAGAAGGCGGCAGCACCAAACCGACGTATCCGGTCGACTTCCCGTTCGAAGATATGCTGATGTTCATCAACGAGTGCAAGGAAGTTGTCAAATTCTTTCACAATCACCATGTGGCCAAGGCGCAGCTCCAAGAGATGCAGAAGACCACGGGTGCGAGAGCTCTTGTTCGTCCGTGTCCGACGCGCTGGGGCAAGATTCAGTAGACATGCAAGACCCTGCTCGCTTCAGAACAACATCTGCACGTGATCGTTTTGGCGCGCGATTTTATCAAAGGAACGGCGGCTCAGAAAAAGAAGCGCCAAGATGTCAAAGACACGATCACCGCATCGAATTTCGTCACGCTATTGAAGAAGGCCATCGCGATTCTGGAGCCGATCGACATCTTGATCGTAAAGTACCAGTCCGACAAGGTCCCGATCTCTGAGGTGCTGCCGGATTTTCACAAGTTCCACCAAAAGTTCTCGCAGTTGTTGGACAACCGCATCATCGACGACCAAGAGTTCGCGTACCTGTGCAACAAGAGTGCGTCGCGGTTCCAGTTTATGTACGGCACCGCGCACTGTTTGTCGTACATGTTGGACCCGCGGTTTATCGGAGAGGGACTACCGAGTGGCACCTGCTTACAGCTGGAGAACATCTTGTTTAAGTTTCTTGTAGACGACGAGTCCTTCGATTCATTCGATGAAACACGAGCATTGGCATTCAGTGTACCGAGTTCGTGATTGCGGCGGAACAAGAGAAGGCGGAGTACTCGACGTGTTTCAAGATGTTGGCCAATGGCGCCAAGACCGTATTGCAGTTTTGGTTGGTCGATGGCAAGGACTGGCCCGATCTGCGCCAGATCGCCATCAAACTTTTCAGTATGGCGACGGCGACTGCCGCCTCTTAGAGAAACTTCTCAACCATTGGATTCATTCATTCAAAGCTGAGGAACTGCCTCAACCCAAGAAGCGTCGACAAATTGATGTTCATCAAGAGCAACTTGCCGGCCTTCTACGACTACGTGCACGACGAGTTTGACGTTGACGATGATTTTGACAGTGAATACTCCAAGCAGGCACCCGCTCATCAAGCCGAATAACACCATGGGTTTTTTTGCTTAAAATCGGGTTTTATTGTATTAAACCAAAAACCTGATTGGCTCGGACAAAAAAATTGGGTTTTTTCCAGCCCTGATGTCACATGATGCATCAAAGATTATAGAAAAGATCCATGCGGAATGGTGTATATGTCTGATATTTTCAATGGATATGGCGCATGCGATTTTAACATAAGAAGCAACTAGATATTCACTACAAAATCCATGTTTTGGAATGTCACATCTCGCATCCTGAATTGCATTAGCAGCCATAAATAAAACATTCCTCATGCAACAAAACAAGTTACTAGATCAAACTATGTCTTCTCGCTAATTTGAAAGCAATAATCGTCATCTTCAGTCGATTTAAAGAGTGACATTGCATTTGCTCAAGATTGATCATACCAATTGTTTTCACTCTAGAGAATTTCTCCTATAATCAGGTCAACAATCAAAGCTCTAATAATAAAAGTACTCATGGCAGATTGGTATTCCATAAGATGACAAATAGTTTTGTCATGTTTGATAGAAACTGCAAAATGATTGTACTTATCTTCTGTTGAAAGATTTTGATACTCTTTCCATCTCACTCGATGATTGATGCGAAGATACTGCATGTAGTTGTCTGTTTTGAAAGTAGACACCTGAAATATCCAAGATGTCAAGGATTTTTTAGCATGTTCTTTGCATCCAAAACATACATGAAATCTACACCTAACCGCAATCATTGCAAAAATTTAGCATCACGATTTACTATACAGAGATCATATTGTAACAGATGTTTTGATTGAAATGAAGTTTCGCGGTATCGCTTCGAGTCAGGTTCAATGGAATCCATCAAACTTCATGCAACAAAGTTCTAAAATTGTAATGAAGTGAAGTAACAAATGCTTAAAATTTTAGTGAAGTTAAGTAACAAAGGTCCAAAACTGTAGTGAAGTGAACAAACCGTGGTAGCGCCGTTTAAGTCAAAACCAATCTCTGAGAACTTTTAATAGTAGTAAATTTGTTTACACCGTTCTGGTGTGCGAAGGATAGTGTCAACTTTTAGTTAGTAAAGTCATGTAATGTCACAAACGGTCATTGCGCAATTTTAGTTAATACCTCAGTTAGTTACTCTAGTGTCGTCTCCGAGATGAACAAAGACATTTTTGTTGGAAATACAAAACTTTTTGAAAACAAAATATTGCATTCATGCTCTTGAGTTTAATATTTTCCGTATTTAGAGAAGCATGATCATGAGCCATGTCGTTTTAAGTGAGTAACACGCAATATCATAATAAAAAGCATGTAGTAAGCACCTAGTCTTCCATGAATGAAGCCGGATGAATGTCACAATGACTTGATCTCAATACACAAAGAAAAACTACTTTTGAAGATAATCGAGTAATATACAACAAACCAACAATCTACTAATATTTCGTGATTGTTATCTTATGAAAACTCACCATAACTTAATCAACTCATACATTAGATCAAAGTATTGGATAAACTAGGAAGATAAAAGACGTGACAGAATATATAAACTTCCATTTTTATTATGGTAGTTTCTCTAATTTACTTGCATGGTCATGTCAAGATAGTTTCAAAAAAACAAAAATATTTATGTATATTCTAATCATCACTTTCATATTTTAATTAAATTCTATGATTCAACTTTTTGATCTTTTAAAATAATCAATGAATCAAATATCATCTAGCTCTCAATAAGTTCATTTACTTAATTACTTTCATGCCTCCAACGTGATTCAACGTGATTGTAACTGTTGCAGAAGAAGTTATTTATCTATCTTCTAGCAATATTAAATTGTATTGCTAATTGATGTTCATCGATTCCTTGTTATGATTTCATCAACTTATAGTTGTTTTTTACTCATTTTTTGTATGTTTTAAACATTAGAAAACTAACATAAAATAATGCAAATTTTTTTAAAAAAAATGTAAAAAAAATTTTAATTTTTTTCTTATAAAAAAGAAAATCAAGATATTAATTTAAATATATAATTAAAAATAATTTTTTATTTGAAAATAACTTAATTTTAATTAAATTAAATATTTAAGATGTAATTATTATTTTTAAAAATAAACTTAATGAAAAAATTTATATTTTTATACAATATAATGTATCTTGATATATAAATTATTAAAATATAAAACTAATAAATTTCAAGATTTGAATAGAATCTATCAATTAATATATAATTCATTCTTATATTTCAAATCACTTTTTTTAATTTTCTTTGGATCATAAAAAGTCAATCTCAAAGTGATTTATGATTCTATAGATTTGTCGATACATAAATATTCACATCTATAAATTTTTTAGAGAAAATTATTTTCTTGAAATGAAAAATATTAAGATAATTAATTTGATTGATAATATAATATAGAGTAAAAATTTCCAATACTGAGAAGAGCTAGGATTGTAATGAGTCACTAACAAGTGAAAAGAACGCAGCGTTCTTATTGGACATTCAATCAGTTGAAATAATTCAATAAGTGAAATGTTTGGTTGCAAGATGAGCTTCATTCGGTATTTTGTATTGTTCACGACACTCAAACGTTGATGCTATTTTTAAGTTTGAATTGAGAAACTTGTATTTTTTTAATGCAATGAAGCGTAATGTTTGAACGTCAAGACAAAGTTGACGATTTTACAATTTTCTTAGTCAATCTAGAGCCATCCACAAGCAAGCAGCTTCAAACTTTTTGGTTGCATGTATAATTATTTCAAAGATCTAGAAGGAGAAATTATCAAGCAGATGACATTTGAATCATATCGACATGGGCTTAAAAAAGGTTTTATATCATTCAAATGCAATATTGTACGGACGTGGTGCATTAATGTCATATGTGCGTTGAGATAGATGCGTCGATGTTGAACGTGACTTACTATGTGCTCAATAACTAAGCTCTGTTTTTTTATATAAGATTTTGCATGACTTTGCGACATGTTTGAAATCATCATATAGAGTTTTGCTTTGAAAAATTTTGCGATGAATGAATGACTTTAAAAGTATTTGAAGCGCGTCTCAAAATCTCTAGCAAGAAGAGTTGTGAAGAACATAATAGCCTTAATCTCATGCAAGTGATGAAATGTTTGCATGAAATCCGGAAAATGCTTACGGTTGTAACACTCGAATGCATTATGACCATTGATGAGTCCGCTTTACAAATTCATCAAAATTATATTGCAAAACCAATTTGGATGATTGTGATATCAAATAAAGCAAAGAGCAAATAACATTGATGTTTGGAGTTAGCGTTTCAGTTGAGAAATAATCAACGATACTATCTATAGCAAAGCATTTTACTGCAAGCTAGAAAGAATAAATTGTTGAGATAACCATGTAAATAATTGTATGCCATCATCAATTTTCACACTACTTTTTATTATGATCATGAGATGAATTATACTTGCAACAGTCAATATTGTCATTAATGACGTAGTGTTATTAGTGGGCAGATTCATTGATTACAAAATAATGTTTCTGGAATTTGATGTCAATAATGGAAGAATGTCATTCATATGATATTATACGATTGGGAGGTTAAATTTTGTATATTCATCTTAAAAAAGAATAAAAAATAACACAAAATTGCTCAAACTAAAGATAACGCCGACTAATAATGGATGTTTTATAATTGTCGTATGTTCTTAGTTACATGTCAAAACTAAGTCAAGAGAACATATTATGTTTTTTGTTTAATTGCTTTAGATAATTAGTTTTTTTATTTCTTGATATAAATCATTAAACATGGATGATGAGGCATTGTATACTAGTTTGCATAGCAACGTGTCATAGTTTTGATCTCATATATAATATAAGATATGTCTCATCATAAGACTAGAGAAAAATGTTCAGTTTGTTCATTCTTTGCAAGGCTTGATATAAGAATAACAATATTTTGCTATTCACTTAGATCACATTTTTCAATTAAATTGGTTGGGGTTTAAGAAATTGAATAAGGACTCTTGCAAAGTTGTTTCCGGAGAACAGCAAATAAATATAAAATGAGAAGTATGCGCCATGGACACCAACATTATAGGGCTGGTGAAATGGCTTCAAAATTGAAATGAAATCAATTCTCCAAGAGCATATTTCGGGTCCGCGCGGGAACCCTAATGAGGAAATCGAGGTAAAACCCAGAGACATGTGATGAGCGCAAACCTCCAACGAGAGAACCGTTGGACGGAAGGAACGAGGTCCAAGAAAACGGCGAAATTTCTCGCAAAAGTCACTGGGAAAGGTGGCGCTGAACCCCATCCTACGAACGTATACATTCACCGCATAAATGAGGAAACAGTTCTCCCGCCTCGACGAGTGAACGCGGCTTTCAGGCGCACTAATGCACCGCGAAAGTCACTCTCGAATTGCGTCCGACTGGGACGGATGCAGGACTACGCCGCAGACGTATGGATGCGGTTCCCATGGTCTATACACAGCCCTGACGCCTGCCCCGATACACGTACGTACTATACGTACCGTCCTCATCCCGCTGCGACAGGCTACGGCAGCAGTAGGACGCAGGGACAGAGGAGCGCATGCCGGAATGATGTACAATACTGCGGTGTCGGCAAGTGGTGTACGGTGCAGTAAAGGCAGGCGGGCTCGCTGGCGTCGGATTCATTCAGAAAGGATTCGGCAGCGTCCGTTGCGAAATCGCGACGCCCGCCCTCATCATTGGCCTCCGAGTCGCGAAGGGCCGGCGAGCTCCTTTACGTCGCCAGTCAGCCGGACGGCCGGGCGGATGCCGTGAAGCCACTGCGGCGGATTTTGTCGGAAAGTCGGAGGTGGGCATTATGGGCTGCGATGGCGGGCGGGCGGAGTGCGGTCGGTAGGAGCGGCTCAGACGTTGGACGACGTTGGGCGTTTGAACGATGGGGACTGGGCGGGACGGAGGCTGGCGAGGGGCAGATAAGAAGCTGCAATGGCTGCCGAGAGAGTAGAGGAGAAGGTGACGGTGAAGGAGGGCAGGGATCGCGTGAGCGATGGCGGAGAGGGAGATCGAGGAGGAGATCGAGATGGAGATGGGAGGGGGCGGGGGAAGAACATGGAGGGCGGCAAGGTCAGAGGAAGCTTTTCAGCGGCATGGCCGTCACGGCTTGGCAGCACGCCCGCAGGGCACAAGTCAATGAACTCTAGCTGGAGATTCGGGGATGTGTGACACTTGAGGAATAGAAGGATGATTGTGATGTACAGCCACCGTATGAGAAAGAACAAGATCCGGAATTTATTGTATATGAGTAGATGGCTGAAAAGAGGACTGAAATTCGCGCAGAGATGATCCAGTCTGTCGAGCGGTAGGAGAGGATGGTTGGATCATCATCGGCACGGGTGAAGAAACGTAGAAGGTACGGTCCTATGATTCCATACTGTGCTCGGCAGACCCTTGCCTGCTGACTGAGGTATGACTGAGGTACTCATACTGCGGATCACTGGAGTGCTGACCCGAGTATGACTTCAGGCGCTGCGTCGTAGCTGTCTGCCCAGCGCTCGCTGTGCTCGATCGGCATCCGGTCAGATGCAAGACGCCGTTGTGCCAAGACGCCCTGCTCCATTTATTGACAGCAGATGAAGCAAATGAAGAAAGTGCAGCTGTAAGTGCCTCGGGTCACAAGTACATTGCACGACGCATGCGAGATATAAAAGAAAAGAAATGGGTTGATGGAGGAGCGAAGGAAGAGAGCCACTCGACCGTACGATCGAAAAAGCTGAAGGGACCATTCTCTATAGATTTGTGACTCCTGAAGCGACATTCCGAATGACTTCCGAGGTCGGGGACAGCTTCGAGCAGTAGTAGACATGTGGGGAGGAGGATGGAACTTAATGGAACGACGGACAAGAGAATTCAATTAAAGTCCGTCCACTTTGATGAACCCACGAAAGACTAAGGCTGTAAAGTAAAACGGGAACGCATGTCACCCACATGGGTGTCTAGGTGTCCTTCGTCCACCAAGATAGACAAGAACACCTCAATCTCCTTCGTGTTGTTACTCAGACACGGAGAAAAACAAGACCAACTGCCCTCGCCGACCGTTGTATCGACGGAGGAAGCCACCGCATGACTGCCGGATGCAGAACAGCGTCGAGAAAGAACATGCATCGAAATCATAAACTGTCGAAACAAACATATGCCAAAATGCTGGAGTTGAGGTGCAGAATCAATGTGCGGCGAAGGGTGCCTGGGATGAGGACTGAGTACCGCAGATCAATTTACAAAGACGGAAAGAATGAACTGGATAGCTGTACAGGATAAGACGCGCGGCTGCCAAGCGGCCGGTGATGACGTCTTCGGGGGCGGGCCCAGGAAGATGTATGATGAGAGACAGCCATGTAACCTGGCCATCGGTGAGATTTGCGAGCGAAGTCAATCGGGAAACGGGTTAAGCTCGCACGGACGTCACAAGTCTGCAATGTTAACCAGGTAAGAACGAAACGATCTCAGATTTTGGGACTCGGCAATTCTTCATAGCTGGTCAGAACTCCAGAGGCTAGCATATTAATTGTGACCAGACCGTCTGTGTTGGGCTTCCAGTTCGATCGGGGCAGAACATGTGAGTTGTCGGTCATGAGTTCATCTTCGATATCTTCCCTTCCTCTAAGTTCTCTCGCTCTCCATTCGTACATACGACATCTGGAGCGGACTCCAGCCCTAGCGGAGCTACGCTGAATCAGGATACTGTATATTTAACGAAGCCGCGTTCATGTCGCCTATGATATCCCTCGCCTAATAGACTGACACAGGGATGCCTCTCAGAAAGCGGACTGCAGTCCTGGACGCTGGATGCAAGCAAGCGTGGGCCTTGTGGACCAACGTCATTTGCTTCTCTAGGCGGGTCGCAATCCCCTCTGACAGAAGATAAAGTTCGACCTTCGCCTCTGTACAGCAAAAGGCCAGCCCGATCAAAGCCTCGGCCTACTAGCGGGTGGGGGCAGGAGTAGACCGAGGATCGGCGTCCCACCATCTGGCGGAGCGGGCAGAAAATCTACAGCAGATGATTATGCACTGAAGGAGTGGGGTATTAAAGAAAGTGATTATCACTCGCCCGAGACGTTACTCCCTCGTACTCGGACTGGCGACCATTTTCTCCAGCGCGCAATTGCCAACAATCGTACCCCTCCTCATTAGAGAATTTCCGGGCTTCTGCTTCTGACTTTGCTTAGACCATGACACCCATCCCAGAAAATCGGATCGTATCCGATGAACATCACAAGACTCAGCCGGGCATCGTTCGCTCACCGGCCCTGGGGAGCTGTCCAGAACCAGGCCTTAGCAGCCGAATACGACAGCCCGGGAGAAAACTCTGCCTGTGCAGAAGTCGTTCACCTGCTTTCAGTTATTGGCGAGAAACACAAGGAAAAGGCTCAATTCAAACGATATATCACCCACGGAATGTTTCTGCCCCTCCCGAACACCTTCTATCCGATGGGAGTGATCGAATTGTGGAGCCGTGGAAACGGCTTTGGACAGCGACTGTAGCTCCGTGCTGCACGACCAGTGAGCGGACCAACTGACGCTTACCAGTGTCAACGCACACTGGATTAAGACCCCTGTAGCTGTACACGCTTGCAGACTACCAGTCTGGATCGTTCCCTCGCATGACGATTTATCCGACTAGACTCTTCGGTGCAGTGCATTGTGCATTGATAAGAGTCGGCGGTCACCTCGTGCACTCAAGTTACGACGAGTTGAGCAGTTCATGACAGAAGAAAGGACTGGCATTGCTTGGAATCAAAGGAAGAGAAGACGGTGTGCTTGTAACGCAAAATACATCATATCAGGTCCCGGAAGAATCTCAAGCAACTCAACTGCCATGCCCAACGAAAGAGCAAGTAACGAGCTTTCTCGAGACAATCAGCGAGCTAGTTGCGGGATGATTGCACACGCGACATACATATCGACATACAAAAGGACTCGGGCCGGAACGTTGACGATATCGAATCCAAGTATCTATGATTGAAATATGCAATTTACAAATGTTCAGAAGGACAAGCGTTTAACTACAATTCTCTGTTAACCAGCAATTATATTTTTGCCAGTAGTTCACCACATGGCCTTCCGCCGAGTAGTTTGGTAGTATATACCTGAAGAAACTCTTAACAAACTAGACCGGGCGGGAAGAGCTGTGTTTCAACACTTAATGTACAGAGGCCACCAATGACGACAATGGGACTGGTTTCGTGTATATCGCAAAATATCTGCAAACATCAGAAGATGAAGAACTTCCTTCTGCCGACAAATACCACTGGCTTGGATGAAGAACCCATCACCAGCTGGGCCAAGACTTGCTCCAAAATGGCCAGGACATCTCGTAACCCACCACGCGTTTGACAGGGATGCGGAGTCGGAGAAGAGATTAATAGGCTTCCACACCATACGTTGTTGGTTTGTTGGTGCTCATACCCATCATTTCTGTTACCAACTCCTCGATCATGACTCTAAAAATGGTCCTTTCAATTTCTAATCCTATCTCTGCAATCTCCTGGTTGTGATTAGACCAGTTTCCAGGACCTCTACTCATATCCTTTTCTATAATAGTATCCAGCTCCTCTGTCGTTCCCTCCCTCCACTCCTTGATTTCCCTGTACACTTCCTTCACCAATTCTTTCCCTTTCGGCTGAGGTCTCAAAACAGGTTTCGCGATCCAGGGATCAGGGTACTTGTACTTCAACCTGTAGGACATGGCTTCGTTTACGGAGTCAAATAAAAGTCGACGATGAAGCCACAGACTCTGCCATCGCTTGAAGCTTCTGTGAGGGAACTCTTTGCGTGTACCAAATTCCTCTCCATCTTTCTCCCGACCCCATGCGAAAGCACGTTCTTGAGATTCCAGCCTGTCGAAAAGAGTGGGGTTCACAGGCAGCTCTGCACCTGTATTATTATCTGAAAGATTCGGGAACATTTCCCACAGACACAGAATTTTCGAAACGTAGTCCTCCTCTTCCTGGACAGATTCAGAGGATTCCATTTCTAGGCCGAACTCCGAAGGGTCAATACATCGAATCCTCGATATGTCCAGGATCGCTCCGACAATTTTCTCGTTCTCCGTGCGGCCACTGTCCGGAGACACTTCGATGTCCGTGACTGGTGTCACAGGCGTGCTCTTCCTCGACCTCCTGGGCTTCCTCGGCTTCTGCAGGGCAGCTGCGGACTCGTACAGAAGATCGTCGATGTAGGCATCTTCGTCGACGTCGAGATCTTCATCATCTAACTCTGCAAGACCAAGAGGTAAATCAAACACGTTAGCTTCTCAACGACCACCTTCCCAGCCCCTAATTGAGTCCCTAGCTCGGCATTGCGATCTCCAATCTGAGCAGCAAGCCACCATTTCTATAAATGGCCAACGCACCGCATATGCTCTCCTGAATGTTCCCTTGGGAGCTGGTCGTCTCGTCCTCGAATGGGCACTCCAGCACGGAAACGGGACTCGGTTGGCCGCAGTCCTCTCTCCCAACGGAAGTGCACACAGCTTCTTCGATGCCGTCTTCATCTGGTAACACGACTCTGCCTTTGCTGGCAAATTTCTTGGACACGCGCTCGATCATGTCTTCGCGGTCCTCTGTTTTCCTGGACTCGGTGAGCTGCGCGTACAGAAACAACAATAGCACATGTATGATGAGAACGTGTACGACCCAGCGTTTGCATTGAAGGCTGCGAAACCAGACAGACAGACAGACAGACTCCAGACAGTAGATTAGGCCAATGTACCTCGGGAGTTGATGGCGGCTTCAGGTCTTCATTCGCAGATGCACTGAACTCCTCGGTTGGACGCACATCGCTCCGTGGAGGTTGCTCATCTTCGGCGGCCACTTCGCGTTTGATGAGGCTATCGTCCTCCGGAGAAGAGATGACGCTCGTCCTTCCCAAAAAGGACACGCACTTCTCGACCTCGGTTGCACCTCCTTCGAGAAGATACGTCTCCAAGGATGAACGCGGAGGCTCTTCCAATTCCACCAAAGGACTGTACGAAAAGCCACTGCGGCCAGAGCCAGCATTCACGATTCCAGTCGAGAACATTTCTTCCAATTTCATGTCGTCCATTAGGTGGGCTGCGTACTTGGAAATTCCGCCCCGCATGATGTCCGGTTCGTTGAGGTCGACGCAGTCGAAACCTTCGATGAGTCCACGTTTGGTCTCATCCTCCAGAAGCTTCAAACAACCCTTGTCCACAGGGGGCTTGTCAGGGAAGACATCATCGACACATTTGATAGATAAGTTCTTGGTGTCGTCTATTTCGGAGTAAGCCGACCGCACCCTGCCTGCGTCTTCGGAGTACACACTCGGAGCAGAGGTTACCGATGTAGTCTCCGTCTCCATTTCCACGGAGCAGTCCTCTGACAGATATCCAGGCGTATCACACTCGCTTGCCTCAGGAGAAGGTTGCGCTGAAAGGGACAACCTTAATCCACCGCGTTTCTTCTTGTCCGAAGAAGGCGATGTAGAAGACGAACTTCCCTGAGGATTGGCCTTCCTCCTGAGCAACGATCGCACGAGAGAATTTTCACTCTTCTTCTGAGAGGCCTCATTACGCGTTTTGCTCTTATCCTTGGACTTCTCCTTGACGGTGTCGCTCTTCCTCTCTCCTCCACTACTCTTGCGGGCTCCGAATAGCCTGCTGTAACTAAGAAGACCTCCACCGCTGTTGCTGCGAGCTGGAGCAGGCACATCCTTCACTTCCTGCTCGGGAGACACGCTGACTTCGGTAGTTTCAGAGACTTGCGGAACTTCAAGCTCGAGCTCGGGCTCAGGTTGAGCAGGCTCCTCCACCACAGCAATTGGTAGCGGTGCTTCAGGTACTTCGGGCGCCTGCTGTTGTACAGGTACTCGTTCTTCGGTCGGAGTGCTAACGGGCTTCGTCTTGATGGCTTTGATCGTCTTCAAAAATTCGTTCGAGTTTTCGCCCAGATCGGCAACAGCTGAATTACGAGGACACATACACATGTCAGAGAGGGAAGGGTGATAACGGACACGCAGAAGAGAGACTGAAACAAGCCTGCAAACTTAGAAATGTCGACAGGATAGAAAAACTCGAACGAGTGTCTCGAGCCAAACGAGGCATTCATCGCCTGATTGCGGAAAGCAACGCACCTTTCTCGGCAGATGGAGCATCGACTTTGCTTCGAGGCTCCTGGGTGCTGGCGACGATGGGAACGGAAGCGGCGGACTGCTGCTGCTCCTGCTTCACCTTGCTTTCTCTGTGGTGTTTGTACTGATGGGGGAACTGACCGCCAGAAGACTTTGATATTTTCTCCTCTTTGACGCTCTTGCTGCGAAGAAATCTGGTCCGGGACGCCGATGTCGGAGTTGGAGGTGTCGGTCCTTCTTTGGTGCTGCCGCTGCGTCGAAGAGGATCGTGGAACGAGGACGGTGGCCCCCTGTCGCTGGTCTCGGAGTACGGACTGTTGCCCACAGACAGAGAAGAAACCATGTGCTTCTCAGAAATCCTCCTCTCTTCCATGTCGAACTTGTCCAACCGGATCTGCTCACGCCTCCCAACGTTGAGCGGCTTCAGTCCTCCTTCGTAGGCTTCTTCAAATCCTTGCGGAACCACGGTCTTGACTTCCTCCACTAATCTGACGTTGTCTTCGGGTGGAGGAGTGAATCTGTTGTTGTTGCTGTTGCTGCGAGTGCGCTGCTGGGACGAGTTCCTCATCGGGGACGCAGTTCTCGAGTGGCTTGTGGACTGAGATTGATGGTCTGATCGTCTCCTTCCCGGGTTCTCTGCGAGTGAGCTTCCATTTTTAATATCATGGCTGTATCGACCTGTTTCCTCCCTCCCATTCCAACTACGGCTCATGCTCTGCCCCTTCAATGCTCGACCAGCATTGGTAGAAATTGCTACTTTCTTCTCCACAATCGGTAGCCGTTCCTTCCTCTCCTCTGCCCTCGCCACTTCGCTTTCCACATCCTTGAAGTCTTTCGTTGTGAACACTGAAGATGGCCGAACAGGAGGCGGGCGGGAGCGAGCTGTGCTCGATTGTAGACTCGGCTCGAGTATTTTCACGGCTGCTTCTAAGAGTCGCGCGCTTCTACTGCCCATTTTGGTGGGCGACTTGATGGGGGAGCTCATCAGCTTGTTGTGGACTTTCGAAGGCAGGAGAATGGGCCTCAAACTGTCACCGTTGGAACGAGGTGACAGGGCTAGGATGAGGTGCTTGGCATCGGACAAATCCCTGCCCGACTTCTTCAAAGGGCGCAGACTCTTGTGGTACTTTTGATCGGAGTAAGGCTGCAAATGCTCGCCTCCTCTCAAGGATTTTTTGAATCCATCTCTCGGGGGTACGTATGACATCTGATGGCCCGACTCCGAAGGCAAATTCTTCACAAATCCTGGAACCGGAACAGAAAGGCGTTCCTTCAGAGAGAGCTTTTTCGCCTCGAGGTACTCTCGCTCCCGAAGTAGATCCTGCAGAAGAACTGGCTCCTGGCGCGCGTGAAGTAGCTCCTGAAGAGGACGGACCTCGACCCCCTGCACAAGCACATTCGTCCAAGGTTGAGACGAGAGGCCTCAAAGAGAGAGCTGAACCTGAACGGGGTGACAACACCACAAAACCCGAGGGAACAAATCTAGACAGCTGCAGGATGCGAGGACATCTTCGCAGTCATAACAATGCAACAATGTGGGGGCTACAGAAGGACAGGATCGGCTTTGGTCAATGTCTGCTTACGGATGACATTTTCGGGTGTTGAGGCGACTCCTTGCCCTCGCTCCCATAGTTGCATTCGGGTAGGGACTCGAGCCCCATCAGCCGGGCCACCACGCCAGGCACTCTCTTCCCTGTATGCTCATCCCCGTTGTCCTTGGGGCGGTCCCCACCAGCCGCAGCTGCTGCTGCCGCTGCCGCGGCGGACAACTTCTTCGGAGAAGGAAACCCTCCCCGATTCTCTTCGTCCGCGAGCTGGAAACGAGACGGACATGAGATTCCGTTAGAGGGCGAACTCAGCTTCAGAACCATTGAAGGAAACGCGCGGAGATTGTGCAACAACTTACCAGCAACAGCTTCGCCACCGGCATTCGCTCATCTTTAAACTTTTTCTTCGTAGGCTTCCGCGGGCGCTCTGGAAGATCAGCAAACAGTGTGATTTAGTCCGGGATCAGAGGTACCATCTCCTACGCATGGCACTGTGCTTCGGATGCGTGAGCTACCTCACGATCTTCATGACAGTGGCACATGCGGTGAATCTCGTGTGGTCAGTGAACTTTACAGCAGAGCGGTCGGAATCACGATTTCCGCTCTAGATACCAATGAGATAATGGTCCGCAGGCAAGCAACAAGTCAAGGTCTCCCGAGGACCCATCGCTCACGGGACAGGGACTGTTCCGCCCCAAAGTCAGAAGGCCCCTCGACTGCACAATTTCGAGCTCGGAGAACTAGTTTCTCATCGCGCGGTTGCTGTCCTGGTTTGGACACAGGACCGTGATAGAGCAGGAGGAAATTCATGAGAGGCGCACGGGAGGCAGATCGATCAGGAGAATCGACGGTGGAAGGGGACGAAAGGAGAGGGGAATACCTGCTGGGAGCCGCTTGGTGGAGAACAGGCGCTTCCTCGGATTCCAGTCGAAAAGCTGAAGAAATGTGCCGACGCAGCCTCCAATCCTTCCAGGAGGTTTGTCCCTGGAGTGCACCGAAGTTGCGAACAACAACTCCGGGGTCTCATTCATGGCGGAAAGAGGAAAAGGAAGAAGGGAATTTTGAATCTATGTTTGGTCCCTGCTGAATGCGTTCGTCGACCCACCGGACTGATCTGCGGACACCCTCTAAGACGCTCGACGATGCTTCACGTAGCGGACCATGCTGCGAGCGAACCACCCAACTCAAGCCGGCGAGCTCACTCGCGTCGCGCTTTCCCCGATGCCGACGACCGCATCCGTTAGCGCTAAGTTGCCTATGGAGCAACGAGCACACGTGAATGTTTCGGCATTGGCATGCGCACGGGGGAAGTGTCACCAGTGGACTAAATCAGAAGCAGGCACAAGAGACGGAACTTTCGGGCGAGCGTCGACGTCGGCAAGCATGATTCGACGCCTCCAGGTGTCCACATATGATGAAGAGCTCGGAGCTGCTCTGGCACGCGAGCAGCTCAGGGATTGAAGGAAGGCCGAACGGGCTCGCGACTCCGAATCAGACGCTCCCGCATTCACCTTTTGCCCGAGAGATTGAGTGGCGGCCTGACAACTACGGTCCTGTCGAGCTGGAGGTGTCGCGAGAGCAATGTGCCGAGCTCTCTCCGCCTGCTGAGAAGGTGGAGGCCACCGCGGTGATGGGACGGGCGGTGGCGTTCTATCGGTAGAAGAAGAAGCGAGAAAGCAGTGGGACCGCAGAGGCAGGCCACTTTCACAGAAGACGAGCACGAGGACGAGGACGAGCAGAGCTGCTGCTGCTGCTCTGCTGGGAATGGGCTGGGCTGTAATGGATGAGATGAGGAGGAAGCCAAAGAGGAGGCGCAGGAACTCAGCCGTGTATATGTATCCGGAGCTTTCAATGCCGACGCCAATGAGCCAATATAATTGCCCGTCCACTGACTGACTACTAGAGCCCCGGCCTCGCGCTCGGCCTCTCCTCGCTCGCGGGCTGCGTCCCACACTCGATTCGCTCTCGGACGGAGGAGCTGCAGCGAAAGTGAGCTCCGAGCGAAAGCGCTGCCTTTACAACCCGTCCCTCGGCCTCTGGCTGCTCCACTCCAGCAATCGCTAGCTCTTTCTGTTTCACCTGCAATCGAGTACACGAACGCAAACAACGACGACCCTCTACCTTCTGCCAACGCTAAATTCAAACCTCGCAATCACTCTCGTAGGGGTCGAGAAATTTTGCCCAGCGGGCCCACATTCCCCCTCTGGCTGGCTGGCTGGCCCCCGCGGCGGGTCCCACGCCCCCGTACTCGATTTCCCACACCATAAGCTCCCCCGCCCCTCCCCCGCCCTGCCAGTCCCTCCAGCGCGGGTGGCCTGCGGGACCCGGGCCGCCCGGCCCTTGCCAGGGTCTCGACGACGACTCGTACTCCCACCCCCGCCCCGGGCACCCGTCCCCCAACTTCGTGCACGCCAGCCGCGACTACCGGACCTCTGTCGGGACGACGCCACGGCGTCATGCTCCACGGATGACCATGTACCGACGCCCACCCTTTTCTTACCTCCCCCGCCTCGTACAGTGGGATATCGTACAAGAGAGCTCTTTCGCCCCGCCCGCCCGCGCCCACTTGCCTCCTCTATCATCCTCCTCCCTCTGGCTATTAGAACACTTGTCCGCCTCCCGGTGACCCTCGCTCTCCTCCTCTAACCGTCTCTCCGGGAGCCGATTGCGACGTGTGGGCGCCCTTCCCGTGATTCGCCTTTGTTCGGTCCCGACGAGGCGGGCAGGGCAGGGCAGGGCAGGGCAGGTCCTTCGATGGACGGGGACCATGCTCTACGTCGTAGCGTCGGGGAACTCCGGCAGATTAGTAGATCGTGACGGAGGACGTTTCATCACCCGCCACCGAATTAGATCCACGTGTTAATTAGTAGGCGCCTAAAAGAGCAGGCATTCATGCACAATCGGGCATTTTGCATTATTCTATGCATGTCGAGTCGGTTGCGCCATCACATCTTTCGACGTTGCGGGCCTCGGCCCATGCAAATTCGCGCTCGTTGTTCTTGTTGCTCTTCGGATTGTACGTGGTTGCGAGGTTTGGGTGGGGTTTTAAGATTTTTCTTCGACGGTTGAGTGATGCCTTTCCGAAGGGCAGGGGCAGGCTAAGGCGGGGCCTCGCTTGACCATTCGCCGAGCGATTCTCGGCCCAAACTCTTTGCGCTCCTCGGGAGAGGGTACAAAAGTACCCCCTCCTCTCCCGTAGGCGCGGTGCGCCTAATCGTTGGTTTCTGCGATTATGGAAAGCAGGTATCTCTGTAACAGACAACCTAGAGCCCGAGCAGGCACTGCTCGTTTTGTCATCAGAATCACGATCGGATTTGACCCCCGATCGCCTCGTTCTGCTTCGCGTTCTCTAGTGCCGTGTACCGCAGCGCATCGTAGAGCGAAGCGTAGCGTATTCCTCGCCAAACATCGGCCGTCGACATCGCCGAGCTCCTGCTCCTGCTCCTCTTGCAGGGCACTTCTAAAACCGGAAGCTCGTCGAGAGATAGAGAGAGGGAGGGAGGGAGCTCGTCGCGCTTTTCAAACGCGCACCGTCGAGCGTGCCTCCCGCAACGGTCCTGCCTATTTTTCAATTTTAAATCCGGCCCGGGTTTAAGTTTTATTAGCTTGCGAGCCACTCCACTCCACTTGCGCTCCGCTGCGGGGCACCGCCACGCGCCGGCTCCGCCCGCGGACGGACGGAAGGTCACGAACCGACTGACGGTACGTCGCCCACCCGCCCTTTTGTACACTTTCGAATTTTATCTCGGCGGAGACCGGTGCGACCGGGGCGTACCCCGTACTCGTGTCACAAGCGGTAACCACTGTACTCGTCAGACGGACAGACGTCCATATCCACCGGACGTCTACTGCTCGGCTTAAGTAGGGGTTACGGTGGCATACTAACTGATTCGCCCGTAATTAATCTCGCCACCAAACTCGTCCGCCTCAGGCTTTCGCGCACTCCGTACTGGCAGATCGTCGCTGTGGTCCTGTTCAAATTTTGATGCGGCTGCGTGTTTAGGACGCCTCGGTTTCTAATCCGCTCGTCTTAATGCTCTCTCGGTGGCGATCGATGTCCGCGAGGGCCCATGTGCCGAAATAGCTCGATGCTCAAGGTTTTCAGCTTTCCATTGGTGGTTTCTAGAGTACTCTTCCTCTTCTGCTCGCTCTTGCCTTGATTGTGACTCTCCGGACTCATGCTTGCCGAAATTATCCCGTCTCCTTTCAGGTTACGTTTGCCGAAGGGATGCCTGACTTCTTCAGACTCCTCGGAGAAGGTCTCCGAGGTCAGCATGTCACCCCGGCGTCATCTGCGTGTGTTGTTCAGAGCTGAGAGCAGCAGCGACATTCGACCAATTGGAGTTGACGTTTACGGGTTCCGTCAGTGTTAGAAAGTGGAAAGCGATTTTTAATCTAACACGAAGAGAAGTAATGGTGCCATAATGACATGATACTCTGCAAACGATAATTTAATCTTTTACGTTGCTTTTGTACCATGAGACATGAGAAAGTTCGCACTTGTACGATATTGATCTCGTATGTCCAATGGTCCAGGTATATATCTCAATTTAAGACTTGGCATGCGGTCTGCATCTCCGTATGAGTTCGCATAAACAGGGAGACATCATTACATGTTCAGGTACGCAACCATTTCTCCTTGGCCTGAACTCACATTTCAGTTCACAAAGTGGCGCTGTCATCCTGACCTCATCGTTATTCTGATGCAGCCAGGATTATCGAAGCCGCATCTACAAATATGCCCATTAGCGTGACTCTGAACTGCGTCCTTGGAATTATCAGCACGTACTCATGCTCGAGTTTCAAATCACATGATACAAGCTCTTTCTCATCATTCCCGCACTTGATCTGTGAATGAAATTATATACAAGTCCCATAAATCACCACTTTATGTCGAACCCCCGAGTATTCAAAATATTCAAAAAGCCATCATACTCTCGATCGACGTCAAGAATTCACAATTTTCTCGATTATATATAAGTTCCCAGTGCGTTCGCCCATACAAGGGCAATAAAAGCCCTCGTTTGTCTAGAACATTGTGTCAACAGCCGTTGACACCTCAATGGGTCCAAATAATATCGAATCTATTGAGTGCTGATTTCTGAGGCAACAGGTGTACTGTTGATATAAATGTCGTAACTGGATTTCAAAATCTGAGTATATCAGACTCGCTCTCCAGTCCGCACCGACGAAAGTCGCAGCAGCTAACTGTAGTTAGGTCAGGTCCTGATCCTGGTTGCAAAGGACTACGGTATGGATGTCATTACTGGCTCCGATCCCGTACCAGGTTCCCGGGCCTTACGCAGTTGACGTAAGCTTGGGCATCGCTCCATGTACCGTATCTACTCGACGGAGGCACCTAAACACTTTTGGTCCATGGTGCATAAATGCCAGATTCCAGTGCGGTCCTGTGTAGATTTGTCTTTAATCGTGAACATTAGTGGATCGTTGTTTTTCTCTTTCACTTTTGGTTGATAATAATTGAAATGATCGTAAAGTTATCTACTTCACTTTTAACTTATTGATCTCTGTTTTGTCTTCGCAGTCAGGGTGGAACACTTTTGGATAGGGCAAGATTCGAGTTCTTTTTCGACGTATGCTCGAAGATGCTGTATCGATGGTTTTCTTCAAGCTCGGTAATTCGTGACAGAGACATGCCCAGGTGAAAACCCTACCGATGCACTAAACGGTACCCTACCTCCCCACACGAAGATCGTGGTTTTGTTTGTGACGCATAAATGGAATATTAATGTCCTGAGGTCGAGCTAAATTCTTTTCATTCAGGACCTAGGTACACGAAGTTCATGAGCCTCGGTTGCAACCGTGGTGAGTGATGTTTCACCGAAAGTAAGTAGCATAAAGCACTAACCCTCAAGTCCAAGTATGATCATGCAATGAAATTGATGGCCAGCGAACTAAATTTGGGCATCCAAGGCACACCCACTTATTCTCTCGGTCGTTAATCTGCAGCGCTAAGAAAGAAACATTCCCTCAGTAGAAATGCCATCATCTCGAGTGGATCTCAAGAAACTTTAGCTTTAAGGACTCGTGGACAAAATTTACACAGTGCTTATCCTTCTTATCAATGTGGTCCTGCGTACTTGTTCTTTCTGCACGTACACGCAGCGAGAAGTAGTCCATCCCCATAACTGTTTCCTTGTGATTTATTCGCATTACAAGGTGTTTCATCTCTCCTCCCCTTGCCACAAGAATGTCATTTTACCCTAAAAGTGTTTTACTGCTCTTTCACATGTTATCCAACATGGCACCAATACTTCCTCTCCTTTTTCCACGAACCCTTGTCCGCACGGACAGACACCAACCCCGCCTCTGCGTTATGCATGCTCGCCATCCCCTCGGCTGGTTGCGCTCCGTCGTGGAGATTCTCCCACTCTACATGCTCATGCAGAACCAGATTCAAAGCAGATGTGGAGTGCATTACAATTCCAAAAGCTTCTTACACCGGCAACGCAATAGTCGAAGGTCGGTCAGTCAGTGGAAAAAGACTCGGGCTCACTGTTGTTGATCTTTCTCCGCTAAAGCTGTTCCAGAAAGCGGAAATTGAATGACGGAGTTCACTCTCATGGGACTTCACAACCGACGGACCCCACCATTCATCCACAGCAATGAATTTGAATCACCAGCCATAGAAAGTCAAGCGAAGCACTATGCTCCAAAGTCCTTCGCTCTCCCATAGGCCAGAACAACCAGTTGCCAACGGGCACAACCCAGCCCCAGCCTATCCCAGGCCCCACCTCAGGCTAAAAGCCCCGCCCCTGCGCCTCCAGCAGCTCAGGAACAACCCCTCTCTCTCTCTCTCTCTCTCTCTCCATCTCCTCATCTCTCCTTTCTACCTACATGCCATGCCTCGGAAGCTCGAAGCTTTGACAGAGTTTGGCGACGCACCAGGCCTATCCCTCTAAAGGACCCACCATCTGTCCACAAACGCTCGCATTCCAATCGCATTTGACCACATGTTGGCGACATTCTAATATACTCTCTTCTCTCTCTCTCCTACACCAAATCGCTTGCAAGCGAGTGCTGTAGAGAAACGAGCCCGTTCGTACATCCTGGATGTACTGTCTCTATCTCGTGTTGTCCTGTGGTTTGCTCCATTTTAAGAAGCCTGATGACATGCCTCTTTTGCGGTGTTGGTCTATTCTGCTGGCAAAATTACCTGAACAGCATCGCCTCCCTATCTAGCTGATGTGCCCTTTCCACCATTACTCGTGCTCGAACTTTTGGTGTGATCGATTTTGTTCGGCCTAGGTTGGAGGCAAATCTTCGTAGGACCCACCAAATTTCAAGGAGCCACAGTTCACTCTTAAAAGCGTGGGTTTGCAATGGTAGGTAATGGAGATGGCTACAGAAGTTTGCTATTTTTGGTGACACAAGGTTCTCGAGTTTCAATTCAGTTATTGTCAAGAATCCTGAACAGTAGATTCTTTTCGATATAAGGGGTTGGTTTATGGGGACCTCAACCCCCTAAACCTTCTGAAACCCTAAGCTTAGTTCCGCAGATACCATAGTTCGGGCTTCATTGGCTCTGCTCAGGCCGACTCCCCTCTCTTCATCAATTCAG